GTGTCTTGCGTTAAATAGATCACTCCGTATATAATAATTTTATTTTTCGGCTGCACTCTTCTTTCCATAATTATATAATAATATAGTGCATCGATCACTCAAGTGCCGAGTGAGTATATGAACTTAAAAAAAATAACGAAAATGATAATAATGTTTTATATATTATCAGTCTTTGAAAACTATACGTCTTCCGCAAGACACTGTTATCTTAAATGTTGTGTGCGCGGCAGTGATGATATTTGTGCGAGATGCACGTAAGCCGAGTTGACGTGCGTGAAGTTGCCCCCCATACTAAAAATGTAATATTAATAAAAATCAAAATGAATTAGAAATAGTCTTCATTAAATGTGATAGAAATTCTTGGTTAGTAAAAAAATATAATACTTATAAAAAGCGTAAATTAATAAAGAATATTCTTAATTAAATAAAAAGCCTAAAATATTAAAAAATATAATACTAATAAAAAATCTAATGTATATAAAAATCTAAATTGTATAAAAAATATTCTTAATTGGTCAATTGGATTAAATGCCTAAATTAATAAAAAAATGTAATTAATAAAAAAAATTTTAAATGAATAGTAAATATTCTTAATTTAAAATCCTAGTTGAATATAAATGTTTGATACCAAGTTCGAATGCGTAGGTGAATAAAACTGGGCCATGCAAATGCTATGTTCCTGTGTTAAAGTGGGGGTGGGGGGCTAAGGTCAGGTCGCCCCTCCCCTCCAAGTAAAAAATTGTTTTCTTTGGAAACCAAAACCATGCAAATTCTAAATAAAAACTCCATAGCAAATCTAGCAAATAAATAACAATTTTTCTAAAGTGGTTTGAAGTTCCAAGGTTAAAGGGGAGGGGAAACTTCAAGCACGTGCCGCGTTGCAATATACATAATGATAAAAGTATAAAATTATCTTTAAAAAAAAAATGTTTAATTCAATTTTTATGTTAAACTTTATACATGTGAAATCATTTTTCATTAGCTTATAGTACTTATCTTTAAATAAAGCCCTGTATATACTACAATACATATTCTAATTTTTTATTTGTCGCTTGCTGCAGGTGATTTTGAATCAAAAACTTGTGAATTTTGATAATAGTTTTAATTTTTAGCCCATTGTCGGATTACATTAGGCATTCTATACATTTCCCGGTCTTTTAATGTGCTCGTGGTAAAATAAGGTATGTAACAATATATATAAATGTATTATGTATGTAGTCTAGTGCTTATTGTGGTTGACTGGTTAAGCCTTACTCTCACCGTATACCTGAAATATATTATAATATTGTATAAGCACACGTACGACACGCTTGGTTAGTGCAATGATTATGTTTTCTCACGTCTCGCGTAAACAAATATTGGTTTTCAAAAGTCGTCCTACTATATAGACATTATAGGTGTGCTACTGGTGTGCTTAATCGTATGATACTCGGGGATGCGAGCGTGCGCAATCGTATAAAGTGACAATGTCGAATCACGGACGCGCATAGTTCGGATATTGTAACATAATATTTTTAATTTATAAATAATTCAGTAATATAGATACTCGTGTCATATAATTATAATTTATTTTTTTTTTTTCAAAATATTTATAGAAAAGAAAACATAAATTAAACAAATAACTATGTATTTAAATTGTACAATAAAGTATCTACCTCATTTAAGCACAATGCTTGTGATGGTGGTAGAGAGTTACATTATATAATCATAGATACAAATAAATATTATTAAATATTAAAACTGTAACCCTTATCAAATATGCTAATTGTGCATAAATGTACAGATTGTATATATTATTGTGTAAAATACAAAAAATAAAAAAAATAAAAATATTAAAACTAAATTCAAAGATTATTACATAGAAAAACACGAAACTGTACAAAATAAATTTGAGAATGTTACATTTATATTATCTTTAAAGATCTATTATTCATTTTTACATATTATTTAATCAAGAGAATAACCATACATTAATTGGTTTTTTTATACTCGCAATTCTAAGACTCCCAGTTGAAGAGTAAATTAGTTTTTTTAAATCTAGTGGCATTGGATTATAATATTTTGAAAATAAATAATTTATGTATTTTTGACTGATTGATTTTTTGCAGTAATTTATATCCACTTCAAATACTCATACTTCTCTTTTTTTTAATATTTTCCACATCCAAAAATGTTTCATAATTTTGTATTACAAATAAAATAGTTACTTTCTTATACACTTTCTCAAATGGTAACACATTGAACAGTTTAAAATTTTACCCCGTAGAGCCCGCTAAAATATTTTTGCATAAACAAATCCTAATGATTTTTCTCTGTAGTATTTTTAATGGTCTAACAGCATATTCATTTAGCCCCCCTCCCCAGACCGACAAACCATATTGAAATATTGCTTGGAATAACGATAAATAAATTATACCCATAGTTTGCACAGGTAGAAACTAGAAGGTCCCGTAGTTTAGAAAAACTAAATGTTAATGTATGCATACGCATTACGCATTACAATATTATAAAGTAATTGCCATTTCATATATTTGTCAAAAGTTAAACACAAATACCTGACACCAGAGACTTTGAATATTGTTTGAAGTAAGTGTCATTACAACTATCTTCATTTTTATAGAAACAGATTTTTAAATCATCATAATGGATCTCATCTTTATTGATTCAAAATTTTCTATAATTTGTTTTTTTTATAATTTATTGAGAGTTTCCTATGATTTAGATACTAAATTCCTTTTTAAATTCTTTTGTTGATTTTAAGCGAACTTCGTCCCACAAATCACCCCAAAATAGTAGACATGTATCATCAGCATAAGTTATAATCTGTCCATCTATTTTTAAAACACATATAGAGTTAATGTATAGTATGAACAGTAAAGTGCCTAACTCCACAGTGAATATTCATTTCTTCACCTTAAGTGTCATAATTTTAGCTAATTATTTTCTGTTTTCCTAAATAACTTTTAAGCCATTTTAAAATGGAATTCTTTATACTGAAACTTGATCAAATGTTGCAAAGTTTAATATGATTTATCGTATCCAAAGCTTTCGACAGATCTAAATATTATATTGCCATTGTTGTTTTACTGCTGTCAAGCGCAACATAAATGAAATTATTGGCACTTTACAATGCATTTTCTGTGCTCAATCCTGGTCTAAAACCAAACTAATTTTTAAACAACAATTTATTGTTTTCTAAGAAATCTACCAATCTGGACTTTATTATCTTCACTAGTATTTTTGCAAAAATGGCTTATCATAGAAATCGGTCTATAATTATTTATATTAGTAGCATATCCGTTTTTTAAATAATGGTTTAATAACTGCTAGTTTAGGTTTGTCAGGTAAGATCGTATAGAAATACTTAGGTCGTAAATACATATTATTGGTTCAATAATATTTATAGTTATAGACTTTAAAGTTTTCACCGATAGTCCGTCAAAACCAGCAGCAGTATCATCTTTTAAATTATTTAGAATTTTTAGAATTTCGGGCTTGTTAATCTCCTCACTAAGATACATATCGAATGATACACCTGTATTAGTTTCAACAGAATTTAAATTAGAATTTTTTATTTTACTTGCAAAATTCAAATTAGAATATTTGATTTGACTTGAAAGGTCAATACCAATATTAGTAAAAACAAGCTCTGACTGAATCTTCTAGAGGAATTAAATGTTCATTATTATGTATTAATGATTTAATTTTATCACCATTTTTATTTTTAGACACTGTGAGCTCTGTTATTAATTTCCAAATTAATTTTGGACTACAGGAAATATCATTAAATTTTTTTTTATAAAAATTATTTTTAATAATTCTTAGAATTGTTGTGAAAATATTTTTGTATTTTACTTAGTATGAACGCAATTTACAATTATTGGGTTGTTTTTTAACTTTTAAAGATAAAACCTGTTTTTTACGCACAGAACATAGCAGACCAATTGTCATCCATTATTTTACATGCTTATTTTTCACATTGGCCTTTTAAATTGTTGTAGCTGAGTTAATCGCATGTCAAATTTTATCAATGAAATGGTCAAAACATTTATTAACATTTGCGCTATATATCTCTGACCAGTTTTCTATTTTTAACAGTTCATTTAAATTATTAAAATTAATTGTTTTATAAACATATAATAAAACAATATAATAACGTAAACATAATGTGATGACTGATGGCATATTATATATTATCCATATAAACGTGACGACGAGGACCGCAGGTTAAAAAAGCAGCTTTTGTCGAGACTCTCGAAACAGCCGGGCGCATTTATTATTAATAATACGGCTTTTGTGCGTAATGTATACCTATAGATAATGTATTAAATACAATTTTGTTCACTTACACTGACACACACGTATATATATATCTATCGATTGGTCATGGGGAACTTGCGCGGGTTGCCAGCCTACAGTCAGACCACGAGCTTGCAGCTTGCAACTTGCAGCTTGTCGTGCCGCGAGCTCGTTTTCCTTCACTTACAACTCTCTCTACACACACACACACACACACACATATATACATATACCGGGTGATCCATTTAACTTAAGGCACTTATTATTTCAAAATCTAAAACACGTTAATGAAAATATTTTTTTTTGTATTTTTGTTTTAATCATTTTTTAAATCGTTCACTTTTCTTAATGACAACGCTTTAGTCTTTAATTCCTTGTCCCAGAGCAGATTATGTTTCGAAGTACTCGGATGTGTATATCTCGAATTTTAGACTAGTAGCTTATAAGTTACAATTTATAAGTATTTAAAATGTAGATGATTGGAGTGGAGTTGTACAGGGTTATCCCACAAAATGTGAAATGAGTAAAACCTTGAAAAATTATGATGGTTAAAATTAGTAAGAATAATTATAATTATAAATAATATAATATATATTATTATTAATAATTATCTTTCCAAAAATGTTGTCTTGTAACGACTTAAAAATATGTAAAAGTAATTATGTAAAAATCAGTATTTTTTGAAAAAAAGAGTGGCTTATATTAAATGGATCACTCCGTATAGACGGTTATAACAAGCGCTCGCCTTCCTCCTCCGCCGTTCGCGCCCTCTCGTTACCGTCGTCTCCGCCCTTCGCACCTTCTTCATTCCACCGTTTCCGACGTTTGCGCCGTTCACCAACACCCGTTCTCGCTCACCCTCTTCCACCCACATCACCACGCCACCCATCGCTACCACCACCATCACCCACCACGCACCGCCACCACCGCCACTCACGCGACCACACGCCGTCGCTTTCTCTTTCGCGAGATCCCTGTACGCCACTGTTCATCCCACAGTCCCACCCGACGTCAGAATTACTACCAACGTCACCGTCGTCGCGTCGACTCTACTCTCTTCGAATACCACGGGGTTACAGTCTTGCGCGCGTGTGCTCTTTTACTACGATTACTATTACTATTATTATTATTTATTATTATTATTATTATTCGTACTGTTATTAATAGCATACCACCGTTTGCAAAGGCGCGAGCACGACGTCCTTTAATCGGTCTGACGCGCGCCACGTCGTAAACGCTCGCCGCGCCGCCGCGCCGCAGCCACCGCCACACTCGGCCACACATAATTATACGTCATGTGTCGAGGGAAAACTTTAACGGTAAACATTTGCACGCACGAGCAGTACGCACACATCAGCCGCGGTAGGCACAACGTTTGACTCTTTCGTCGCGATAACAAAACATATAGTGAGTTTCAAATTAATATTCTAACCGTCGTTTATATCATATACAATTACAATATATAATAATAATAATATATAAATAATATTATAGGTATTATGCATTACTTTATGAGTACCTATAAACGCTTCGTTGTTATTATAATTATTTTAACATGGTACTATTTTATAAATTGTATTCAACGAAGTTGTAATTGGTTTTCTAAATTAATATGTGTACTTGCAAACATGTTACGTGATTTTGCTTCATCGAACAAAATTTGAATCACTAATATAATTTATTATAAAGTTTCTCGTCATCTACCTATAATCTATATATTATACTCTTCGTCTTAAAATGAATAATCAAAACACACTACTGTTGTTTATTCGAGTTTAATCCCCTTAAATGTTTATTACAACGGTTAATAATCTATTCAAAGGGTTTACCAATACATTTTTTTCATACATATCTCCCCTTTTTCAATCACATAACCTATACTTATTCGTGCTTATTTTTCGGTGAATGAATTGTTCCATCAATAAATACTTGTGTAGGTAAATTAATAAAAATTTACAATTCATTCATTAAAGGTTTGAACTATTTATAATATAAAACACAATCTGGCCAGTAAAATGATTTATGTATTTCATGTAATTATATTTTGTGTGAGAACTAACCTATTGTTTGACTATTATTTTGTAAAGTGTTGTAAATATAATATTATTATAATATTAATTTTGTTAAAAATATATCTCATACATAATATTATATATAGGTAAATAGAACAAATATCACTTAATAATATAATATATTGATAGTATATTAAGTTTATAGTCACCTTATTATAATAAAGAAATAAAACAATATTAAGAGAAAGATTTCAAATTTCAATCCACTGAAACACTTTGTTGAAATAATGGCAGGTATCTGCTAAATAACTAAATATAATAAGATAATATTTTGTAGTGGTTTATTATATCATAATACTTTTTAATAGGATGTAGTTCGATTGCTATTAAAATGTATTATTCATATATTTATAAATAAATACTAAAAGCACATTATTACTTACATTCATGTTATATGATGTAACTAGGTATTCGTAATATTAATAATCGACTACACTTAATTAAATTTTTAATGAAAAACAAATTTTATTGAAATTGATCGTGCTGCAAGTGTTCAAAGTTTTTAGAATGATCTCTCTATGCACCATCTGGCTTAAATTCCTGATCTATATAATAATATGAAACACTTTTAAGTATTTTAAAAAGTAATACCTAACAGAAATATATTATGTAAATATTTATTATGATGGGTCATCGTGTTTTCCCGTGTTAACGTTATTAAAATATGAGAAAACTCAGTGACCAAATATCATTAAATAAATATAAAACTTATGCAATGTAATGATTAAGTATATTGGAAGTAAATTGATTATGAAATCTAATGATTATTCATTTAGATAGTTATGAATATAGTCACTAGTGCAGTAGGTATCTAAATAACCTATATAATATCAAACTGGAGTGATATAACAGGTTTATAAGAATGGAGCCACAATATCCGGTTACTACAACATCTAAAGCGATGGACGAAACACTCTTCGAATATAAAGGTGGATTAGCAGATGATTTGAAGTTTCTTGCAGCTATCCCAGAAGTGTGTGACGTTACATTTTTAGTCGGTGAAACACGGGAACCCGTGTGTGCAGTTAAGGCCATACTCGCGGCTAGAAGCCGGTAAGTATTTTATAGTGTATTATTAAGTAATCGTATATTATGCATAAGTGAATATATGACGTAGTACTTCACCTATGTGTTACTTGGTGAATAACTATAAATCATAATTATATTAAATATAATAATTAGTACATATTTGATTTTATGCTACACAAGTTAACAGTAAAATTATAAAAAAATAATAAGATGAATAATTTGTTAAAATACATTGACGTACAATTTTACTCAGTATATAGTATCGAAAAAACATTATTTACTGCAGTCACTCAGGTACACCATATCATAGAAATTCTGTATTCATATTTTTAATTTGTAAAATATTGGCTTATTGAACTGATTGAATTAAAAACATTTTGTTGAAAAGGTTTAAAGGTTGGTATTTCTCACCCTTAAAACATTTCTATGTTATTTTAAATTGTATTATTTAAATATTTTTCTATTTAATCAACGTAAGCCGAATTTTCTCTCATAGGATCGTTCAATCACTACATTACATTCTGAGTATAACATTTTCCATTTCATAAAATGAACACATAATGCGTAATTCATGAATTGGACAAAATATGCCCATTTCATAAAATGGACTATAATAAATGCGCTGAATAATTCATGAATTATGAAACTCCTTGTATTTTAGAACTGTACACGATTGTATAAATTATACTATCTTAAGTTTATTAATGCGGATATATAGATTAAAAACAGACCGATTAGGAATGATTAAAAATAATTATTATTATATGATATTTGTTACCAATATATGTTATTACTTATTAAAGCCGTATTGTAATATAGAAGCCTTGGAATTTGGTGGAATTATATAATATTAAGATCATATTAGGATTACATTTAATCTATTGTAAATGTTATAGCTCATATGCATAAAGTGTTATTACACGATAGAATGGCACCACCGCTACAATGTAATTAACGATATTATGATTGTAGTAGACTACTTAATGAATACAAAATGTATTAATTATTACAAAATATTATTTTGTTAAGATGATTTTTATATAAGTTATATTTATAAACTTATAAATAATAATAATACTATATTTTGTTTGTAACTATTTATTTATTTTTATGAATACATAAATTTGTATTCATTCAAACTTAACACTTATTCTTTTATGTATTTTTAGTAACCTAAAATAGTTAAATAACTTAAAAAGTCGATACAACTATACTGTCTATACTGACCTAGGTATATTAAATTGTACATATTGACATATTGTACTATAAATGTGTAATGGATTATTGATCTATAAATTCTTTGACAACTGTTATACATTAAACATTTAAAATTTATCTTTCTTTCGTTGTTCGTGGTGTTGTTGGTTCGTTTTTAAACAAAAAAATTAAATTTAGATAAGGTGACTTACAAAAAAAAACTTTTGAAATATAACCCGGCGCAATGTATAGGCAATAGAGGTACATTACTATGCAGAAGAATCACTGATTTCACATAACGTCCATTAAATACTTAAATATACGCATACTTTAATTTGAAATTATCTTAAGGGAAATAATCAAATAGTACCAAATTCGGAAGGTTAATCCACTTTCTAGGAAATTTTCAAATCTTCTTATTTTTTGAATGGCTGAAATTATCTAATGCTCTCATGTACCATATATTTTTACTACCTTCCTAGTTACATATATATTTTGAAGTTCAACTTTGTGTAGTTTAACGTATTATAGTGTATTAACAATCAAAATTATTATAACTACAAAATGAAGTATTCGTTCACCCTTAAATGGGTTGATTTGTTTCAGGGCATTTGATATTCCAGCTGACACATTATTTTGAGGTATATTGATAGTATTTGGAAATTAAAAGTTATAAATCGGCAATTATAGTATAGGTATATCAATTCACATATTTTAACTAAAACCAATAACTGACATAATTAACTTGGAAAGTTCGCGATGACGTAAAATAATAGGTAATCAGCCAAAATCTTATTGCTGAGTATTTAACCAATACAATAATTACAATCAGCAGAATCAGTTTTTTTTTTTAATTGTTCTATTTGAAAATAAATTTTATATTTTACACAATGTTAATTATTATACGTACTAGATAAATTGATTACAAATTAAAAAAAAAATATGAATTCGGGGGTGAAGTTTAAATTAAAAATGTTTGATACTGAAACCATCTTTTTCAGTTAGTTGTATGCCTCATGCTTGTAAGTTGTAGATAACAAGATAAGTAATATGTATTTTAATTATTAACACTTTTTCTAGTGTCAGTTGCATATTTTGTTCAATACCGATATTTTCACTTCACTAAATAACATAATGTTACGTACTATTTTTTGATTCTTAACTTTTCAGTGTTTACACATTAAATCAAATATGATGTGGCAATTTTTTTATGACGCAATGCTTTCTGATCCAAGACCTTAGGATTCGTTTCTATGGATTGCCTTTAAGATTGTACACCTGCAGAATTCATTTCCGGACCATCTTGAATGGATAGCTTTTGCAATATCCTGGAGAACTTTTGAAATATTTAAAAAATGGTATTTTTATAGTATCACCTGTAGTGAATTTCCAATCTATAAAAATGCTAGAGTATAAAACTTTTGGATAACATATTTAACAAAAAAAAAAAATAGAATTTATACCCAAACTAATTCATTATTTATGACCTAGAATTTAAACTATGTATTTTTAAACTAATAATGTAGCTCAATATACAGATATATTAAAAATAAAATAATTCTTTTATGAACATAAATAAGCAAGTGTCAGGTATTATTTCAGGTGCTTTAGTTATTTAAAGATGTTGGTAGGTAATTAAGAAATTGTAAAAGAATGTTGGCGTACTTTTAAAAATAAATTAATAATAGCCCGATAAAAAGTAAAATGTTATTTCAAACTTCTATGCAAGTGTATACCAGCGTTTTAACGATTTATCGTTAATGACTGTACTAATTTCCTACGTTTTTGAGGGAAATGACAAATTACTACATAGAAAATAAATATTAATTCTTGCTTTAAAGTAACGTTTATGTATTCCATACATAAATACGATGTAGATATATTAATCATATTACACCACACACGAGGTTATCTGATATTTTTATTACTATATATGCACACAAAAAGAGTGCAATGTGCACTTAATTAAGTAACGAATAAAAAAAAATGTATGACCAGTGAAAAACTCTATAGATAATATACTGTGGGACACTTGTTGTATTTTTTATGTTATGTATTTTAACTTTTTTCATGGTTTTTTTATGTGTATAGAGTGTTTTATAAAATGTTATACGACACGAATGGCAAACAACTACAACATCAACAACACTCAATCGGAGGTAGTTCATCAAAACGCAGTGGAGGCTTAATAAAGCAATTATCTGGTGCTGCGAGCGGGAGTCAAAACCCTCAACAACAAAATCGTTTAAGAATGTTATTAAAACGTAGTTCAGAACCATTGATTCAACACAATCATCAACAGCAGTATCAATCACGGGTGAGTATATTCAGCTATTTTTTATGAAAATATGTTCTAGTTAAGTTCAGTTAATTATTTAGGCAAACAAATGTTAACCACCAAACATTTTATTGGTGTAGAGTATTAATCGATTTCTAGTTTCATCTTTGGGGAACTAGAGAATGTTTAACAATAATTAACATGAATATTTATTTTTATAAACACACCCATAACAAATGTACGCTTAAAAAACTAATTACTTGTTGAAGAACACGAAAATCAACATGAAATATGTAAATGATGAGAGATTAAAATTTCAAAGAAATTATTAATTATGCTAATGGTTGGCGTAATGATCTTTTTTATCTTTTTTATCTTTATGTATCAATTTATTATTTTAGGTACCCACAATAATAATAATAATAATAATAACAGAATAATAAAATTTTTAGTACATATTGTTTAACAAACGTTACTTCTAAACGATCATTATTTTTTTTTATGTACACTCTTTTTTAAGACATTTTGTGTAGTATTTAACTTCGTCATAAAACGAATTGAGGTCTTCTAATGGAAGAACTAAGACTACATCAGTAAACACGGTTGCGTAAATATTTAATAATGGCTTGATGTATGAACACCATATTATTTTATCCTACACTACACACAATACACATATATACGATTTAGGGATCACTCTATCACTGTTACATATATATATAAGCAGTTCTTGATTTTCCAAGTACAATATAATATCACAAAATAACTGAATTTTTTGTTCTTATGTGAAGTGTAGGTGGGTAGTATAAAATCTAATAAATTTAAACTATGATGTGATTTTGTTGAGTAAATATTATATTGTAATTCTTATCAAGTTACCGTCACTAAATATGGGGTCATGGGGACACTATACTATATTATTATAATGACAAGTCGATTGTACGATAGCTGAATTATTATAATAGAGATGAGTGTGGTAAATTGTATTATTTATTCCATAATTTATATTTGTATGTCTTATGTCTATTTGTTGCTGTTGACGAACAAACCTATACCAACATATAGCAACAGCAAAAATCACCACCGAATAGGAACAGTATTAAGAACAATAGCAAAATGGTGACTGCCGGATCCAACGCATCGACGTCTTGGTCGAAGTATAAACGAGGAAGTGCCGTCGGAACTGCGGCGATATCGATAAGTAATGCTGCGAGTGTAACGTCGCCGACAGTGATAATAATTGAAGAATTCGATGCAGACGTGTTCCGGCAGTTGGTAGAATATGTTCACACTGGTTGTGTGACATTACAACCACGAACGTTACTAGGTAGGCTGATAAAATAAATAATAATAATAGACATAATTGATTATAAAAATATAATTTTTATTTGTTTATACGTTGTATCATAAAATATAAAGCTTAATTAAATAGGAAAAACATAGTTGTGCTAAAACTTTTCGACAATTTATTAGATATATTCCTGAATGTTGTAACTTTATAAGGCGAAAAGGATATCCTTTCCTTCGAAATGGTCGGAGTCCTTCCCAATTAAATTGCACCATTTTTCAATGCTCCTATGATACAACTAATAAATGACGTTGAAAGTTTTAATATCTTTTAAAAATATATTAGTATGATACTACTAGGTTGTTTATGTGTACCAACCCCATAAAAATATAATTGACTTTGCTCTTCTTTATTCAATAATAAATAATAACAATGAATATTTTTCCGAAACTTTTAAGTCCCTATATTTACAATTAATTTTAATAAGCCCGTATTAAGTTAATTATAATTATAATCAAGTTGAAACGTTGATGTATATCAAGCGGGAATATACAAGAGTTCGTTATATTCGCGTGTACGCGTCATCATTGATTTTATAAAATCAATGTCATAACTTGCTTACGCACTAACACACTGCAGCATTTTGCTTTGTGTGGACCTTAAATTCAATGATATACTTAAAACTATAGCATTAATAAAGAATATGTTGTTCTTAATGTGATTAACTATATGAAATTGACGTAGGAATATCAAAAAGATTTTGGGGACGGTCGGTATTGGTAGGTACCGACACACCGTACATATACAGTCATCATCGACTGTCACGACAGTTTCAATTCTATATCAACTACACATATAACGTAATGATATAATTACGAATATCTTTTTAAAAGGGTTTCGAAATGATTTCATGATACAATTACATACATTTTTTTACTGTAAATTTTTTCGAAGACGATTATTTGTACCACCTTTTTTTATCATATACCATAATTTAGGTGCACGCGTTAGCGTCTAAGTGTGGGTTGACAAACGCCCTAATTGTTCAATAATATATATAGTCGTTTCCACTGCAATAGTGTTGTTTTATCAGGCGTGTTGAATGCGGCTGACTGTTACGGACTGGACGAGCTGCGAGCCGCCTGTACGGGTTTCGCCGACACGGGCGGCGGCATCACCGTGGACACAGCTTGTGCGCTGTTGGCGTCCGCTGAACGTTACATCCACTACAAGTGCACCAAATCGCTGGTGCAAAAAGTACGAAGGGGACGGATGAGGGGTGAGGGGGTAAATCACTGTTGGCGATTTCGTGTAAAATATATACACCATATGGTTATTATAATAATTTGACAATAATATATTATTATTACTGTTGTTGATATTATTTCCGAAAACAGTCAGAACATTTCTTACAAATCCCACTGAACCTGCGATATTATTATTGATTATCCGAATTTAACATTCAAAACGTGGAAATAACTCAAAGTTTCTATATTCAATTTTTGTCGACTCTCACATAGGTACACATAATAATTTTACTTTTTTAAGAGTATGCACGTCTGGCAGAATATTATTATTATTTTGGTGCGGAGGAGTTATTTTTACCATCTGTTTCTAAAAATATTTAATAAAAACTATTGTACTAAAACCAATCAATAAGTTTCCATTTTATTTATTTCTAAAAGAGGATATGTACAATGTGAATCGCCAAGCATGCTCACACCTATTTTTTGGTTAAATAACATATTTATTCAAAATTCTAATGTTTAAAACATTTAGTATTTGCTATACTTTGATCATTTTACAAAAATAAATATAGATGGGTTAATATTAATTACTAACATTTACAAATTTCTTAATTTGTAATTCCATTATGGGCCTATCATTCTTGGTATGTAAAGTTAAATAACACAACAACTACTTATTCGAATTTAAATTTTGATAATATGTAAATTTTTTCAAAAAAATAATCCACTAAATAATTTACAGAAGAAAAGGGATTTTCGCATTTCAACAAGGAGTTTGTATCTCCAGAGTCTGACACTTTTTAAGTAGTACAATAAATCTCAAGAATTTAAAAATATTATTGTCTTTTGGTACATTTAAAAATTCCAAAAATCAAAGTTAGACTAACTAGATGATTAAAGAAAAAGGAGTGAGGCACTTTCGTATAATTTTTTTTATTAATTTGTTTTCTATAAAATATATTAGTGATAAAAACTTTTTAGTCGATCCTCAAAGAAAAATAAATTCTCAGTAGAGCTTAATCAAAACAAATCTGGCCACCCCTGCGATGTATATAGTATATACGGTGCGTTTTTTTTTTAAACAAGTCATTTTGGTATTCCAAATAGAGTTTTCTGGACAAAGAGCATAGACGGCTAAAAGAAAAAAAAAGTTTGTAAGTGTTTATGCCTTTGTAAGAAGTCTGGCGACCATACAGCTTTTACAATATCGATACAATAAACGATTTCTCCAAATGATGAAAATACCAGCCATTGCAAATATGCACGCTTATTGCCGGTGGTGATTTACCCTCTGGATGTGTCTCGCTACATTAATAATTTATGACATAAATTATACATATTATTACATTTATATGACGATGGTACACATTACCTCCATCCGCCCAACCTACCTGTTATACATGTATATACGTACCTAAATATTATCCTGTGTGCGCGTGTAAAATGTTCGTTTGATGTTGTGAAACGTAATTATTATCACCATCATCATCATCAGCATCATCATCATCATCATCATCATCTTTTGTTACCTATGTACATTATGCAATATTATATATTGTTGGTTTAATCGAGCGTTGGTTTTATTTTTTGACGTTATAAATTATGTTTGTTTTTTTGTACTATTCCATTTAGTTGTATTTTTGTGTGTGCTGTGCGTGTATCTATGACCTGTGTGTGTTTAAACGAGGGCATTGCCGCGACGCGTGAGGTGCAATTTTTTTTAGTTTTTTATAATTAATATTTTTTTCATTTTGTTTTTGTCCCATCATATTAGTTGTCTCCGAGATTTTTATACACTACCAATGCATCAGATCGCTTAACTCATGTGATGTACGTAAACGTATGGTACGTATGGTGCTCGTCGTAGATCGTCGCACATACCGTCATAATCGTTATTTACTACCCACATCATATTAAACGCTGCAATATAATATATTATGTTACCGTCAAAGAAGTAAATTAAGGAATTGACTTAAATAACTATAAAATAGTCAATCGAGATTTTTGCAATCAAATTATAGACTGGAATATACGATATTGAATAGGAATATTACTATTTAATACTCCATTATTTTCAAGCAATGATGCATTTCGCAATATTATTTCCTAGGTAATGATGACTCTAATTCTGGCAATTTTCAGCTTTAAATCATAATTGAAAACAATATTCATTGAATTCGCTTGTTAATGTAGAAACGACCTAGAGGCCTGCCATCTGCGTTGTAAAATCGATTTGCAATAACGGACAACTTACTTATTTGTTAAAATATTTCTAGACTTGCACGTGTACTATTGCGTGATATTAATATGGTAGGTACCTACAGTATCGAATCAACGAGTGACACACTTACACAATTTTAGTGACACGTCAATATTTGACATACGTTTCCCCAGCCCCCCACATATCAATTTTCCCAAATTTTTTTTCCCCAACATTTAGTACGTCATTTGTTTGTATTTGTTTGACCAAACTCAGAATTTGTTTGGTCAAATAAATACAAACAAATTACGTACTAAATGTTGGAAAAAGAAAATTTGCACAAAGTCAATAATTAACGGGGTGGGGGGCTGGGGAAACGTTTCTGCAGCCCCCCGCACGGAAAACCGATTTTCCTAGAGGAACCGACATCAAACAAATTCTGAGTTTGGTCAAACAAATACAAACAAATGACGTACTAAATGTTGGGAAAAAAAAATTTGGGAAAATTGATATGTGGGGGGCTGGGGAAACGTACGTCAATATTTGAATATAATTCATAATTGTTACTTCACTTAATACGGAAAAAATTATCATTTATTGAAAATATTTTAACGCGAACAATAACTTTTATAATATTATAAATTCTTGAGCATCCTGTATTTCTCGGTTCTGGGCACTATTTGTAGGGTCGAATATTAAAAATGCAAAACTTTGTACGGCCAGGTAAATGAACATTTCAAAATTCAACGCTTTGTGTTAGTATAAACTATGCACTATATAATATAATTTATAAACAGGTCTAAAGTCATGACATATTATATAAACAAGGCCATAAAGTTTTGTACGATTTCAACTAAATTGGAATCAGAACCGGTCAGTCGTCAATAAGGGATTTGAGTGTGTATAATGTATATTGTATATATATACATTTTATATAACATCATATTGAATATACCATATTATGTTATGTTTATCATGATTTGTTAAATTTGTTTATATTGTTATGGGCATTTTTGTTTGAACATTGTGATTTATGACATATTAAGTTGTATATCTTAAATATTATTTGTCATGACTTGTTTATATATTATATTATACTTTATAGGTTTACAATGTAGGTATTGTTACAAATTTATAATAGTACAAAGTGTCCATGTTTTGCAATGGAATTTTCTACCAGATCGGACAAAGTGTCTGCTTTTTGCATTTTAATCAATGGACCGTTCAAAGTGAGCTTCTATTGAGACCCATTCCTAATAAGAGATCTATTCCTCTGTCTCGTTAGGTTACGTTATGACTCGATAAGTACTGCTTTTGATATTTTCGATAAGAGTATACGACCTTTATGACAGGCGTCGATAGATAATTTCGTAAAGAGACTTCGAGATTGTCATCCATGATTCCATCGCTATTTTAACTAAATGGCTATTTTTTATTCTTTAGAATTAAAATAAAGTGAAATTAATATTAATATTAAAACCTAAACCCTGATTCTTTATGAGTGGTAAAAGTCTTTCAATTAATTTGATACTGTGTTATAAAAAATCAACAATAATTTATTTAGCTGTTGAAAATATTTGGAACTACATAGATGGTTTATAAGTAAGCATCTATTTTCGTCCACGAATTTAATTAAATCAATATTCAGAAATCGTCTTGGATAACAGATATTAGTGCAGCATGTATTCATTTGAAATCGACTAGTTGTAATCCCAGGATTGATTAATTAGCCAGAACATGCAGCAACAAAATTGTAATTAAAAACTAATTTACAAATAAATTAATACATCTAAAAACATATTTCTTTCAGTTTTGTTAGTATTGTTAGTTTTGTTAGTTTTGTTCACTATTCATATTTATACGAATAGCAAATAATGTCAAATTGAAATGTAAAAATAAATATCTGATTGCTCGGATTTTTTCATATTTTTTCTTGACACTCAGATACTAACAAATTTGCCATTCCTGACCTACCCACCTATAATGTGGTAGAGCATTTTTTCTATGCAACTCAATTTTAAATTCTTAACCAAATTGAAATATTTTGTTAAACAAAATTACTAACAGTGATTAATACCACAGTGAAGTAGACATTAAGGTAGTACGTAATAGTTGTAAATGTATTAATAAAATATTGTGTTCTTACAACATTCCCTTTAGTATTATCTTAACCATACCTTGATACTTGATGCCCTAGGCATTGACGATATCGTCTACCAATGTAAAGCATTTATGTTATTACCTAAATTACATCATTGATGGTAACATGCATTATATTATTAAGGTAATATTTAATTACAAAATTCTTCTTTGGAGAGTTACAATATTATTAAACGGAATAATATAAAGCGTTCCGATATAAAACATGGGCATTAAGTTTAAAAAATGTATGTTAAGGTAAAAAGTGATTTTACTTTTTTTAATTCACACGTGGATCACATAAAAAGTATCTATTTTGTGTCTATATTTCTATAATTCTATGCAATATTATTTTATCAGGAAACATAATATTGTAAGATTGTTAATTTTTAATTAAAACTGGGTATAGTGTTATCAGTAACACTATACACGGTTTATTAAAAAGTAGATAAACTTTTTTAAATCTGAGTTGAGTTACTATTTTTTCTTGTTAATAGTTTAACTTAGTGAGTTGAATGTATTATTTGCTAACCATTAATTTCTGACTTAATAATCATAATATTGTGTTCACTTAACTTAACTTGGCTTGAGTTCGTAATTATTTTCAGCGACTCGCCCACCTTTGTCTGTTATTCACACATCCCAGTACACAGTTGTTTGTGGATGTATAATAATTGAATGTACCTATTAAAGTGTTGTGTACTTGTGTGGTCGTGCGTGTATAAAAATCTGACTAGTCTTTTATCGACGACGACGACGACGACGACGTTGCTTTAGTTGTTCGTTTATTTATTTTTCGTTTGTTTACTTACATCAGTGACGTAAACCAGGGGTGGTTAGCAACGTTTCAATCGATTTCAGAATACAATTGAATCTTTTTTTCACGTAAATTCAATGATATGCAAGTTTATAAATAATTATAATATAGTCTATTGGTGTTTATACAAATATTGAAATATACAATACACAGTGATTTACAAGATAAAACGTATCATTTTATTTACATTTACTCGCATTGTACACATAAACTTATAACTTATGCATGTTTAAAAAAAAAGGCTGTTGAATACGTAATTGCAGTATGTTTAAAAAAAATATATTTGCTACAATATGTATATTGTATAGGTATACAATTCCTACATTACTCAAAACTAAAAAAAAATAATATACTCATTCCTTCGTCTTAATTTTTTTTTGCATAAAGTGTTTCCTAAACAATAAAAATAAAATGTTTTTATTCCGGAAATAAAATATAAATATTATAATATACTGATGAAGTGTGTACATAAAATTATTATTTATTACTTTAAAAACGTCTTGTTATTTCTACAAAAATTATTTAGTAATAAACGGTAGGTGTATAATAATATATTCTCAATTTATAGGCCGTAGTCGAGAACAAAAGAAAACTTTATTACTTTACTTTATACTTTGAAGCGGTAAAAATGTATAATAGAATTTAAGGGTAAATCTTGTGACCTTGGAAACGCCCGGGTAAAATAAAATTTTAAAAAAGCATGCCAACTGCCAAGACTATATAATATTCAATTTATATTTTCTTAATATAAAAGTTTATAATTGCGAACTGATGTAAAATTAAATCTGTCTTTAAGAGTAGAAGTCATTTTCATCATCATTTCAAATTCCAGTAGAACTATATCTACATAATATTTGATTAGTGATTTGAAATTTTAAAAATAAAAACGTCATTGATAGGGCTCAGATTTTATATTAAATTAACAAATTAGTACTCATATTACGTAAAGAAAATTAAATGCATGATCAAATATTTAAATATTTAGTTCACAATAAAAGATTCAAAGAATCTTTGTAATGCCTACTTAAATCATTACACATGTAGGTATATTACTGAACACAGGAAAAAATATTGAAATTTTTTTAATGAAATATTTATAAAAGGCTGCAGACAGGCTACAAAAGTGAAAACCCTGATAATGGATACTCGTCTCTTTTTCCTCGCCTCTGCGAAAGTTATGATGTGTCAATGTACCTTTTTATTAAGGTCGTTAATATTCATTTCATAAATTATTGATTTCAAAAAATTATATTATGTTAACACCCATTCTCCCCTAGCCGAAATTCGTTCTATGAACATTACCTGAGTACCTAACTTAACAATTTAATATTAAACCTAAAATTATGGACTTTCTTAAATATAATTTCCTGATGAATATATTATAGTGAATAATTGTAGAATTTCGAGTATAAAAAATCAATTTGTTTCAATTTGAGCTATTATAAAAAACTTAGTGTGTCATTTTTTCTCTATTTTTCGTTACTTTTTACCTTTACGTTTGGTTAAAGAACTGTGAAAATCATATTGGTCATCTTATAAACTTTATACATTGTCTCAGTTAATTAAAATCACATACTTACAAATTAAAAAAAAATCTGAGCCCTTCTTAACTCGCATTATCCAAGTGACCCAGTACATTCTAGAAGTTATAGCATTTGTTTGGCCAGCATTTAATTATTCATGTAGAAGAATGTAATAAAACATTTTCATATTTTTTAACCTTGAAAGTTTAAATTTTGTTTTATAACGAATAAGATGTGAAAAAAAAGGAATGTCAATGCTTATCAGTAAATAATGAATAATACATATAATTAATTGGTATATAACTGTGTGTTTGGTAATTTATATATATATAATATATATAAATATTTATGTATGTATGTGTCAATGTGTAGATTGTTATGAGTATCATTTTTACGACAACAGATATTATAATTTGTAATAAGCTAATATTGTGTTGATGGATTTTTGTACGTTGTTTTGGTGTTGATTTGCAGAAATGTTTTTATCGTTTTTATTTTGTACTGCAAAGGCTGTAAATAAATAATAATAATAATTACACATTAACCACAGTGCAAGTGCATACCTTTATTTATATAAAAAAATTTTAATAAAATACATTTAACAAAATTATGTAATTTCCTTAAAATCCCAAAGGTGCTCGAGTTCGTAGACGAGAACGGCGGACGGGTGCTCACACTTGGATCGTTCACATTATTGCCACAGCACGTGGTCCGACTTATACTTTCGCGGGACGAGTTACGAGCTGACGAATTAACAAAATTTCAGGTAAATGTAATACTTATAACAATATGTACGATAAAACCTGTATAGTCTATGCTCTGTAGGTTAAAATAATAAACCATGCATTGGCATTTGGCAATAACAAAAATATACACTTTCGGGCTGCCGCGGTCTTTAAGTCATTGTCAAAATTATGTACCTTTTGATTGACATTGAATATGTGAAAAGTCCTAAATTCATCAATATGATATTTTTATCACATCATTATGCATTCAATAAATAGCCAATATAGGTTTTAAACTTATTTAAATCAAATAATAGTATTGAGGTCTTGTGATATGTAATGGTATACCGTGATACCGGTATGTAGCTGAAAACCTTGATAACATTGACGGTATTGAAATCGGATATTGTATGTATTGTGGTATAAAACCGGTTTACTTACCGAAAAACTGCTTCAGCCCTTATATTATACACTTAAGGTATTATTTCAGTATTATACGGTAGGTACGAGGGTACATCGGTATTATACGGTATGCCGTTCAAGCAGTATTTGAGCAATAACCGGTATACTAAAAAAAAAATACCCATTAAGCAAATACTGATATTGTAAAAAAAATAAACGTAATCGATATAACTTCAGTGATGATATTATACTTACTAATTTATACGACGATCATGGTTATCAGTAGAGAAATCAGAATTTGTACCACTAGTGTGAATTTTGTAAAAAAAAATACAGAAAACTCGAGAACACATATTTTATTCAAAATGATTTAAAATGTAATTTATATAATGAGTGATAAGTCTATAGCGATTTTCTACACCTCCGGTTGTAAGGTATATGCGTTTAATCATTATGTGCACGAAATACATTATCTGGGGTGCTGCAGGCTGCGCTAATGTGGGCGAAGAAATGTGCCGCTGATGCTGCCGACAACAACAATGCCGATTCCGAGGATGCAGATTGGCGTTCTCTGTTCCGGGAACACTTTGCGCCCATCATTCAGTATCACAAGATCGCAGCGAGTGTAATTTTAGAAGAAATAATGCCGTTGGGAGTGGTTCCTGACCGGGATTTGTTGTCAGCGCTTGCTTATCAGGTATTTTCAAAATCAATATTTATATTATTACAATTAAAAAAAAAACAGCGATTAAGTTGTTTGAAGTTTATAAAGTAATAGATAGTAGTTCGAAGGACTTTTGTATTGCTATGAAAATGTCGACAAGCGATCATCAAAAATTGAAGCAATGGATATTTTTTTACCTTAAAACTCATTTAAAAGTTTAGAATACAAGAGGAGTGAGTGAAGTAGTGACATGAAGCAGCGAAATAGGAACTGTGGTTAATACTAATTGCGGTTTATACTAATTCCCTCATTTAAATTTTTAAGTGTTTATTTTTGCATACAATTAAAACGATAAACAAATATTAGTTCAATAGGCAATGTTGATATACACACGAAATTTGAAAAAAAAAGTATAATATATAGTCCTTTTTTCGAATATTAAATTAAAATGATGATGGGTTATTATTATACAACCTAGCTACCTTCACTTTATTATATTATAACATTTTAATTCGAACAGTTCGATTTTTGCATCAAGCACTGAAGGTGTTCATGTCAAAGTTCTGTTCAGCTTGGTTCAAAAATCAGAAACTTAAATTTGATAATAGTTGAACCAAATAAAGTTCCTACTGTACTGAATTGAAATTGAATCAATGAAATCAAAATGTTTACCGAATTTTATGAAAAAATTATTAAAAATTATTGTTTAATATTATCCTTCATCATTCTAATATATAATATTTATTAATTACATAATATCAGGCAATTAATTTTGCTTTTAAAATTGTTTTATACATTTGATTCACAAGCCTCAAAAACCAGCTATGGGGATCGTAACATCACTATCCAGTATAATATTGAATAGAGGTTATGGTTTAAAAAAAAGTAAAAAACAGAACAATTCTTTGACAAAAAAATTATTATGAAATACCTTTTGTTTGAATTCATTGTTGGAAAAGCGCATCTACACTGCTACAGTAGGTACTACGGTGATATAATAAACTTCGGAGAGTTTATAAAAACATAATAATCAGGATTGTGAATTTGATGCAGTAAAAATCTATAAGATCCTATAAATCATAAAAATGCATTTCAATCTCAAAAAATACAGTATATTATTGACTATAAAATATCCTGAGAGCAATAAAAAATCGAAGTTTAAAATGTGTAAAAATGTATGATGTCGCTATAGAAAGAATAAACTACCTACAATTATTTTTATTGGTTCACAAAAATGTATAAAATTAATGCGGGTTAAAAGTTTTAATTAACGAGAATTTTCAAAAAAATTTATAAAAATTAAAAATTAACCTTCAAAGTCCAATAAATACCTACAAATTCGATATTTTTATGTACTGTGGTAAAAAAATGCAAAATTAAATGTTTAAAATTGATTGGTATCTAATTCTTACTTTGTGATCAGAATTCTATATTTTACGATAATAATCTAAAACGAATGCATTCATCTACGAGTTCACTGCTCCAGTATAGTCCAGTCATAATAATGTAATATAATATATGCAATTAAGTTACGATATTTATGCTTGTTGATCACGTGTTTGGACAGGCTGACCCGAACAGCGTGCGGTTGGACTCCATCACAGGGGCCGGCGACAGGGATCAGTTGCGGTGCGGTCGACGCCGGACGAGGTCCATGTCTGTGCAGAGTGGCGGCGCGGGCGGCGACGAGGACGACATGCAGTCCGGCTGCCATCAGGTGAGCGTCGCGGCCGGCCCGTCGATCACGTCCGTCATCAGCGGCCTGGGACATCAGCCACCAGCCACGCCTACGCTGAGCAGTGGCGGCAGTGGTGGCAGTGCGGACGTTGTGGGCCGCCAAAATCAGCGGCCACCGCCGCCCAGACGCCGGCGGCGCCCCTCGTCGTCTGTGCACCATCACCATGGACAGCGGCCGCAGCAGAAGCACCAGCACCATCATCACTATCACCCGCTCAACCGGCACAACCTGTCTTCGGACTCGACCAACAGCCGTAGTTGTTGTACGAGTGATGACGAAACGGGAGACGACTTAACGTCGTCCTAAACGCGAACGCCGCGGCCGTACGCATCGCGTGCCCACGGATATAAAAGCGACGAATCGCGTCTTCCCCTCGTCATATTCATAATTGTATTAAAATAAATTATGTAACTATATTAGCTGATCCCTTGCACTTCGTCTCCCGTTAAAAATTCCAACTCTGTACACGAGATTTATTTGTGATAATGTGAGCAGTAGGTACATATACTATCGAACCCCGCTGTAGGTGCACACTCTTTACGTATAGTATTTTTTATTTTTTATTTTAACTGAGGACACAAGTGCAAATCAGTCACCTTGGTAGGCAATGTGATGTGAGAATTCGACTTGACGCATGCTAAAACCTGACCTGCCCGATTAACCTTTTTAAAAAAAATAAAAAAAATTCTAATTTCTACTAAAAATTAGGAAAGTTGCCCGGAAAATAAGTTATTAATTAAAATAAACTTTGCAAATTATATACTAATACACATATTTTACGGCACTGCAACCCTCAGGTTTCCAGCTACCTGCAACCTGACCTTTTTGTCCGTTACATTACCTATGTGTTTGACTTGCTCTTGTATATATTTGACTTGTAGCATTTCGAGTTCTGCGACTTAAGTTTGTTTAAAATATTAAGCGTGATTTCTTTGAACTAACCATGATGGACAAACACTTATCAAAAAACTCACTGTGCAATTTTCATTAATTTTTCGATTGAATCGACTGTGAAATGTGCACTAAGAAATGATAAATCAACTATTTTATACCATAGATGAATTTGTTTTAGACGATAAACGTGATGCCTTTACCGATTTAAATAGGGATTCAGTTTTATACTATATATAGAGAGATGTAAATATATTATAAAATTTCACTTCTCGGAACAATTCATACACACACGCGGATCAAACACATTATTAGACGGACAAAAAGGTCAGGTTGCATGTAGGTATGGAAATTGGAAACCCGCTGGCCGTCGTGCCGTACAATATGTATGTTGCGCATAGATGTACAATTTACACGTAAAAAAATTATTTTTGCCGATTTTAACCCCATAAAATTACAATTTTGAAAAATCCTTTCTTAGTGCTCTGTGAAATTATAATATTAATCTATCCTCAAAATATCAAGTCGATAACTCTAATAGGCTCAGCTCTGCGTTGATTATGGATCAGAAACACACTTTCCTTTATATGTATATATTATAATTATTTTTAATTATATTAAAATATTATACTATATAGTATATAGTAAGTTCATCCCACATGTGCCTTCGTCTTACTATTTAAATACTATTATATAATACCTATGTCTTATACCAAAATGCACGTTTAGCAAATCCAATTTTGCATTGTTAGCACGTTACAGCAAATTAACCTTTTATCAAAGTGAAATGTAAGCACATTATCAGCTGTATTCTCGATCGTTGGTTTTTTAAGATATCTTGATTTTTAAGTGAATTACAATGAAATAATTTAATAACTAATAATCCGAGACAAGAGAACACAGGTAAAAGCTCTTATTACACCTTTCTTTAAATTTGATAATCAGTCAATGCTCTCTAATATTTAAGCTAACCACACAACGTTAGAACAGCTGAACGCACCTTTTTGTAGATATGTAATATATGCATCAGTAAGACGGAGACAACCAGTGACGGATTTAAGAGGGGTCAGAAGGGCCTGCTTCGAATACCTAAATTATGCATTTAATGGCGTACGCAGAAACTTCTAAGGGCGTTAAGGGATTAGACTAGCCGACCCACCATGCTATGGGGTTATATTTGCTTAAATAAAATAATTACACAATATTTAATCATAGTTATCAGCTGTTATTCAAATATACAATAAATAAGGTCCCTATATTTATGTAGTGTGTAGCTAATAGATTCAAAAAGCATTCCACCAATTTCGAAGAAAGTTTCAGAGATTAGTGTCTTATAGAAATACCAGAAAAGTTAGAAAATAATAATTTGGAGTACGTTCAAAAATATACCAAGTACTATCTTGCCCATCTCGGTCAAATTAGTTCAAAAAGTAGCATCGGTATACCGATGCCAATTTTCCAGTGAACTGAAGTGAACACAGCAAAGCCGAGGTACTCCGATAAACTGCTATATTTTATGTTTGTTCATTTCTTCCTGGGCGAAGTCGGTTAGCTACAGTATCTTATAAAAATCATTTTCACGATTTCATGCAGTGGAATAACAAAACTTTCCCTTTATCGACCAATACATACCACGACACTAATTTCATACGACCAATTGTCGTAAACTCATCTTGACGCCCAAAGCACGCTATTACTTGTTTCATTAAAATATTTTTCAGTGGAACTTAATCAATCTTTATAAGTTTATTTAACGGCAGTAGAACATGCTCAGTCAGTAATTCTAATTTTTAACATAATCGCTCTCACTCTTCATCATCTCTACTGTGTTCTTGCTTTTAACTAATAATGTTGAATGAGAACCTGGATCCAATTTAATTTAAAAAATATAAACACTGATTGCATCATTATCTCACTATGAAAATAACATAATTGCATATTTTAAAAAGAAAAAAAATGTTATATTATAATATTATAATATGTTTGTAAAAAATTAAAATTGGCTTGTAAACTTTTTAAACGTGCCTATGTAAAATTCTAAAAACTTATCCCCCATACAGATATTTTATGTGAGTATAGTAATTATTTATTTACCTTGTATTTAAAATCCAAATTTGTAACTATATCGATCAAAAAAAAATTAACAATGAATTTTCGGATTGTAGGATAAGTTAATTAAACATTCAATATTACTATCAAATTAACACAGTTCATCGATCATAAGTAAAATTTAAGTCAATGGAAGAAATATGTTGAAATAGTGCATTCGATAATGTCAAAAAATTAGTAAAACATTCATGCATTTTAATATTAAAGTCATATTTATGCGATAACCATCAAATTTATAAATTTAAACATTTAGATAGGTGTACATGAAAATGCAATTAAATCAGCCCCAAATAATATATGGTGTTATAGTGTATATGCGACCACCGATTAAGTCTTAATTATTAAAATATGTATTTTAATACATTGACTATAATAGTTGTTAAGTGTAATTGTTATTGTATTCATAAAAAAAAACTATTAAAATGGGGTTAAAATAATAATTTATATTACATATTACTAAAAAGATAAAAACTACTTATATTGTGCTATTTGGTATTAATCGTATCATATTATGTATCTAAAATGAAATAGGTAGTACATAAGGTACTATAAGTACATTAGATAATACATAGTTATTAGTTGTATAGAGACACGAATAAAAATATAGACATTTATATAATGCAGAAAAATTGTTTTGTTCAATAATTTTTAAAATATAATACCTAATCATAAGCCACATCTGTTAACTACTATAAGTCATAACTGTCTATAATTATTAAAACTGCCATTATAGAGTTTGAATTTAAGTGAAATTCGTTTATTTCACGAGCAACAAAGTATTGCTTATTGGATAATACAGTTGTAACTTGTGTTATTGTTTTTTGATAAAATGTGTACCTATAATTAAAGTTTTATAGGCTAGTCAATTTAATGCAATATCTATTAATATTATAATATACCTACAATATATCTTGAAAGCCATGATTTATAATGTTTGTTTAACTCTATATAAGATACAAATCCAGTGCTCAAATTTTGCAAAAAAAATTGAGGTCTGACGCTGATCTTATCTCAGAAAACACCGTTCCATAGAAGATAAATGTTGAAGTTGCACTAGAATGAATTTGTTTTCCGCACCCACAACACATACAGTAAATTAAATAATTAATACACCTACATTTTGATATTTGGACATTTGTTCTATTGTTAAGTGCCTCGTAGTATGTGACATTGTGAAGTGCGTTGCCAGTGAATCCACGAGAAATTGGTATGAAAATTGGTTTCCGCGATTACGTCGAATATTAAAATGATGAAAACAAAATTTTATTATTATTCGTTATGCTGTTTTGTAGGTAAGTATATTTCGCGCCATCGTCGATAGTCATCAACGATAACTTATTTTCCAAGTAAATGGTATTAATTACTTTTTATTTTATTTATTAAATATATCTTACAAGTCAATAACTATGGATGCAGCTATAAAATTATTAATACCGCATCGACTGTCGTTGACTTGGGAATCGTTTCCTGGAGAAAATAACTCTATAATCATTCTAGAAATAAATAGAAACAAAACTCAAATCTCAAAACCTATTACAACATTAAAAGTAGACATAACAAAGAATGCAAGAATAAAATGAGAGGGAAAGCTTAAATCTATGACGAAATGAGAGCAGACTCCGTTCTCTTGCGTCCCGCCTCCCGCTAAGTATAGTTTCTGTATTCAGCTATCATTATCTATCCGTGTTTTTTTATAGGAAACTTTTTTACCTACTGCAGAATCACAAATCATTACATATAACTAAAATATATACCTGAAACCTCAAACGTGATAATTGAAAAATGTATAGGTATTTAAACTTTAAAGTTAAACGGTGAAATCTATTAGTTAGTTTGCTTTGATGGTGAGTATAATAATTAATAAGTATAATCCACAAGGTACAACGCTGTACTAGTATTAAAATTACTTTTGTTATAGAAGTTACAACTTGTAAGTTAGTAATTTCACTAAAATTGCTTGGGTAAAATGAAACTAGTAGGTAAGTTGTTTTACTGTAATTTGAATATAATAATAAGTTATATACGAAAAGAAAACAAATTTTCAAAATAATTATTTTGATTAAATGTGTACCTAAATGTAGTATTAATAGATTCCATTAATTGAGATTTTAATGATAGTGAGTTATGGATGCAAAAATTGATTGTGTATGCATATTCTTTTAACTTAATCAAATTAACCAAGAGCCAAATAGAATAAGTAGATACTATATTTGCTCACCAATTTGTGAACTCTGTAGATTTGAATCACAGAAAAAAGCCCAAGAAAAAAAGTTCATCGAAAAAAACCTAGAAAAAAATATAACTGAAAAAATCCCAAACAAATAAACACTCCATGGAAAAAAATTAACAGAAAAAAATTTTAATACAAATATGAACGTATGCATACATAATATATTGTGTCTTAAGTTATAATAAATATTTTTAAATGTTTTTATACTGAGTCATCAGATAGTTAATGATATAACACAGAATCCACAGTCAAAATACCTATCAGTCTTAAGTGTGTACTACATTTAAACAACAATTACACAACTTTGAAAATAATAATATAATAAGTCAATACAAGACAGGCGGTAGACGGTAGTACTTATGATATTGGTTCTTTACTCAAGTTTAATATACAAGCAGAATGGACACACACCAATGGGCCTACTATTTTTTTTTAAATTCATATCAGTAACATCAGCTAATAGGTAGTCCTTTAGTTATTATTATTTATGATCATTATCTGTTATCTATATTATGTACTTTTAAGTATAATTGTATTATGCTTTATCAAACAATTATAATCAACGAAGTATGTTAACATATAAAATAGTACTATTGTATAGCACTCTCGTAGACTTTTATTTCCGTTAGATTTTTTTTCCTAGACTTTTTTCCGCCTACCTGTCAATTTACTTTATTCAGTTTAGGTTTACACTGTTTACAGTACAGTATCTATATGGAATACGGTCTGAGACCAATTAAATAATATAGTTAATTATAGGTAGACAAAGACAATACCAAAAATCAAAAAAAATCGATTAACATAATAGTTCAATAATGAAATGGTCAATTGGTGTTAACTATATTGTGAATACCATCACCATCGTTAAATTGGTAAAATATTATATTATTTATTCTATATTTTGTTTAAATATTAAATAAATATACCATATTAAATTTATAAGTTCATGTAAAATTTTTGAGTCTTAATTATTTCATCTAATATATATATTTGTATCATAAACTTAATAATAATAATAAAACCATGATATTCTAACTGTGAAAGTAGTTCGATAGTAAACTAATAAATTGCTGACATAGGTACATAGTTGTAGTTATTCAAAATTACAACAATTTAAAATTTATATTTAAGTGTTATAAAAAACACATGAGAACTTAAAGACTGTTAACAATTTATTGTAATTAAATAACATTTTATTGTGAGATTACAAAACAATATATAATCGCCTAGGACTTAGCGCCATTTTATAATTAATTACATCCACATCGAGAAGATGTCCCAATGAATGGACATCAATGCCAGTCAATTAGCCTATCCTAAATACAGTGGTACAACTAGACCTCTAAAACGCAGGGTGCTAAATCAGTAAATACATCACAGAGTTGTTTGTGGGGGGGAGCCCCCCCCCCCCGCTGCATCTAAACCTACAATACTCGATAAATCAACATTTTAAAATACATATTAACACACTTCACATAAATAAAAGAAAATAAATTAATAATTCTCTTTTTTTTCTACAACATCAATAATATATTGGTACATTTTAATTTCATAATATTGTTAATAAATAACTAAGATATCATACTACATTTTAAATCAGCATAATTTTTCTGGGTTTCATGAAGTATAAATAATTCCGCAACTATGTAATGTGAAATAGTTACAGAAAAGTTCATCGACGGCCATATGAATTATAGATCAAACAGATGCCAATGATGTATCCTGCTATTTGTTTTCACATAAACTGTCCATTATAATATACATATAACAAGTTAAACACAAAACTGCCGTTAGATTTAAATAAATTTACCCAAAAATACATAATAATAAATAAAATACAATATTTTAACCTGACCATTAATGCTCAATGTTATGATATCATATTATTGTATTTCATAGTCAATACACTCTAAATTGAACGAGTAACGTTAAATTGTATATTGCTAATATATTCATGTAACTATATCATAATTGTATGGTTACACATAAATATATGTTAAATAAATTAACTATTTATTTGATGCTGGACCACATAATATTATTATGCGTAATCCATAGTGTATCTATGCAGTACAAATATTTTAGTTTTTTTACAACAACGAAAAATGCTATGCATTTGGATTCAATCGCATGATATTTACATCTATTTTGTTAACTATTTGCAATACTAATAATGGCCAAATAATACGGATTTCATCGGTTAAACAGTAGGTGTACCGTACTTTTAGGCGTTAGAAAAATAACGTAGGGTAGGTAAGAACAAATGCGGGCGGTGGATAATTGTTGTCGTCTCAACCGCGGAAGACCTATGCTGTAGTATGGCCTATCATGTGCGTGAAGTTGGCCGCCCCACCATGACCAATTTATTTGAAAGTTATGTTATCATTTTGCAAATTGGTTTTCAGATATTGCAAATAAATTACCTACAAGGTATGAAAAATATAAGATGGGGGGCAACTTCACGCTACACCCCCTTTTGAGCTGCGTAATGAAATGTGCTGCTAACATTTTGCAAATAGCCGATAACTTGTTTATAATTTGATTCCAAAAACCATACCAATCAATGGTGTTTATACGTAGGTGTAGTTTATAGTATAATTTAAAATTATATTATGTAGGTAATACACAATTGAAATATACTACTTACAGAAGTATTTTATAGAATATATCGGGCTACTATTTAATATAAATTTAATATAGAATAATTGTTTTTTACCTTTATAGCCTTAATACATGGTAATAATATTACAATAAACATAAATAAATAATTTTTTATATATTTATTTATTAATTTTTTTTACTCTATATTTGTAGGAACATAACATGGGTATAAATTATTTAATTTTTATTTAAAGTTAATGAATTATAATTTTATATTCCTATGATAAATGTGGTAGATAGTAAATATTATTAGCTATATGCCTGAAAAACATGAATACGTTCTCACGCACCAACATGATGTTGGTCTCAAGGTTACTCGTAAGTCGTATTGCCGTATTATATTCTTTAATGGTCTAGACGCTTTATATGTCCACTTTTCTAAGCCAGCTAAAGACAAAAATTTACAAATATGAAAAATAAACTTGGGTTAAAAAACACTCAACTATAAAAACTAAGTGATAAAAGATGGATTTGTAGATTTAAAAGCTGCAATGCACTTATACAAAATTACAAATCTATTTTAATGACTTTGGATGATGAGATACTTGAACGAAAATCAAAAGAAGTGGCGCAAGCAATTGGTAAGTTATTTAAATAGTTTAACTATGAGTTACATTGTTCTTATTTTAATGTTAGTACCTATTTCATTATTTTCATTATAGGAGTCGGTCATTTTTTTTATTAGAGAATATACAATCTATACCCAAAGGCCAAAGGCATAATAAGAATATGTGCTACCTACATAATACAGTCAAATTCGCTTATAACGATGCCGTATATAACGATATTCCGGGTAAAACGATCAAAAGCAATGTATTTGGTTGGTTTTATATGTTATGTGTACTACTTTTATTCGTATATAACGATATCGGTTATAACGATAATCCGGATATAGCGATGTTATTTTAAAACGAAAATTTGTTTTTATAATCACCTATAGCGATTATTAATACAGTATTGTAGTAGTAAATTTGATTTCGACCAAATCGATATGACTTAATCTTATCTGTAACAGATAATGTGTCTTGTGCGACCGTACTGTATACAGCATACGTTTCTTACTCGTTTAGTCGCCGTTTTGATTGCTATCCGTTTAGACACGTTCTGAATTCCGTAGTTAAAAATGTCAAATAAAAGAAGACGCTGTTTCACTATTGCTGAAAAAGTGAAAATAATTGAACGTTTAGAATGTGGTGTTTCTAATAAAGATCTTTGCCAAGAGCTAGGAATTAGTCAATCAACACTATCTACCATATGGAAATCAGAAGACCAAATAAAAAGCGTTTTTCAAAAAGACGTGACATCTAACAAAAGGTTAAAATGTAGCCAACATCAAGACGTCGAACTGGCTCTCTTGGAATGGTTCAAAATACAACGATCTAAAAATATTCCAATAAGTGGTCCGATACTTCAAGAAAAAGCGACCGAATTCGGGAAGCGTTTTAATAAAATCGATTTTCAATGTTCTTCTTCTTGGATTACCCGTTTTCGTCAAAGACACAATATCGTTTTTGGAAAAATAAGTGGAGAATCGTCAAGCGTTCCTGTTGGTGTTTCGGAAAATTGGCTGGAACACGTTTGGCCTAATTTGCGTAAAAATTATGCAGATTGTGACATTTATAACGCTGATGAAACTGGATTGTTTTATCGTCTAACACCATCTCAAACATTACGTTTTAAAGGGGAAACATGCAGTGGTGGTAAATTATCTAAAGAGCGACTCACAATTCTTGTAGCCTCTAATATGACTGGTTCTTACAAACAAAAATTGTTAGTAATTGGAAAATCTAAGACTCCGAGATGTTTTAAAAATGTCAAAAACTTGCCAGTCGACTACAAAAGCAATAAAAAAGCATGGATGACCGGTGACATATTTTCCGACTGGTTAAAAGATGGTTAAATTTATATAAATACCTTGAATGTTAAAATACATATGTAATCTTAAATAACAGTAAAAAATGTGTTTAATAAATCAATTTTTCAAAAAAACTATTTTTTTTTTTTATGATCCGGATGTAACGATGTTCGGTTATAACGATCAGATTCCCTAGGTCCCTAGAAGATCGTTATAAGCGAATTTGACTGTATTTAAAAAAACATGAATAGGGTGAGGGAAGAAACCATCCAATGATCGCCCTTCTTTTTGCTTAAATATATGTGCAACAATATATTTTTTCAAATTATTATTAACATTTTTTTTTTTCGTTATTCTTTAAAAAGATCTCTGCACCGGTTCCTTTTTAATCGTCGTGGAGGGTTTCCAGGAATTGTGCGAGTGGCTAGGTCGGATATCAGAGTATTTGCGCGAGCAGTTTGTTGGAAAAACGTTTGTAATACATTTCAGCTTCTTCGTATATATTATGCCGTATGGTTTTCATGTTTAAGTCAGAGTGAAGAGTATAAATAGAGATATAAGGGGGAGCATTGGTGATGGTGCGTAAGATTTAATTTTGAACAGTTTGTATTTTATTGAGATTGGATTTTTTGGCATTGCCCCACAGTTGGAAATTATAATATTCTTTAGTAAATTAACAACCGCATACTAATTTTGAAACTATTGATTTGGTCATATACCTACACATAACGTCTCATTCTCATACTCTCATGCACACGCGATATTGGCATATTGCACTTGCGCGCAGACGCCAGACAGCCCGACGTCTACTATTGACGATCGTGTTGGTACGGCTGGGTTCTCACCACTTCCACACGACAACACCGCTATCACAATATTATTATTCCCAATACGACAATTTTATTATAATACAATACCCACCACCCACCACCCACCACCAATACGTTCAGAGTCGGACACCGACACACCGTCGCGTGATCGGTGCCACTACCCATTACCCACCAACCACTACCAGTCGATCATCGGTGGCGCAGGCTCCGTCGCACTGATAACACAATGACTTATCACCCTCCCACCACGGCCACCAGCAGGCTGACCTTGGTCGGTTGATAATCCGTGTGGCGCTGTCGCAATACTCACAGGTGTGAGCCGTGAGGCGTTCGCTGTTTACTGTTTAGTGTTCTGTCTTCTGTGCCGAGCGCTTGAGAGTCAGCTCTGTCTGGGAGTGCGTTTGCCGGTCACATTTTCACAACCTCGGCGACAAGGCTATGAGCAGCAAGTGTCTGTCCTCGAACTCTCCAACGACATATCCATTCATCAATCCAGTATTCCAGTCGTGTTCCAGGTTCCGACACAGCGAGTGGTAAGTTGTCACCTTGACGCAGTTACAACCGAGTACCTAGGTATTCGTGCTTTTATTATTCTAGGTTTACCCTTGTGAACTTCTATTGATTTCAATTGACCCATCGTATTAATTATTACCAGGATTATTACTCAATGATTGGGTAGAATTTTCGAATAGTCGATTGGTTGTGTTCTCGTTTCTTTCAATTACTATTACAGTTATTTCTGCACTCTACTCTTACTCTAAGGTGTTAATTTAGTCTGCTGTACTCGTCAAACTCGCCTGCATTTCATACAGGTTGGGGGAAAATGGCTTTATATACTTATCCCAATTGATTGGTTAGTCTGTAATAGTGACTTGTGTTGTACTTTATATCTCTCGTATTGTAGATAAATTCTTGTGAATAATTAATACCATAATGTGAATTAATGTATTGATATTGTATTAATGATCTTGATCTTAACATTACCTTGATTGTGTAGTTTTGTGTAACTCAATATTACCCATACGTAACCTGACCTACTGTTTGTTATCTGTGTTAGGTACCCATACCTGACTTAATCTGTCAACAAATGCAAATTATGTAAAACAATGATATCAACAGAATTTACCTATTATTACAATTTAATCTCATTATGGGTACCTAGTTAGATTCAATTTATTTATAGAACCTTAAACCATTGCATTATAAGATAAATGTAGGTATACATTTCTTATTTAGGTATACTTTTCTGACGTAAGCAAGGTTCAATTTATACTTACATTTACACATAGCAGTATACAATTGTGATTAGCAATACGTAGGTACATACTATAATTACAGCAACTGAGATTATTTAACATTAAACATACTACCTATATATGTACCGAGGTATGTACCCATAGTAATGCTGAATAGGTATAAGTTATTTATCTATAATAATATGTGTGTTGACAATGCCTAGTTGATAACTTACCTACTGAACATATTTTAGATAATATTTGTCATAGAAACTAATTATAAATTAATCAATATTACTGAACATTAGTTATGTAGTTATTTACTTGTTTAAATAGTATCAACTTCAGGCATTCTAAATTAAATAACCAATTATATAATTTAAATTATCTTTTTCTTCTTCAAATTTTCAAATTTTTTTTTAACTCATTTAGGTAGGCTAAAGCCATTTTATAGGCCACATTGAACTCTATTTTTTGAATATTTTAATCTCAACCTTTATGGAATCTCTTTAAAAATAATACAATCTTTGCTTTTTTCATAAATTACTTTATACTTAGGTTACATTATTTGAAATAGAATAAAAGATTGAATGGAGTCAATGTTGCCAGTTGGAAATCTTCTTCTTTCAGATAAAAAATAGTTATCCAAATCAGACAATTCAACAAAGCCTTATAATTTTTCATGCGAAGTCATTTTTTTTTAATAATACACCATATCAACCCCCTTCTCTCCTAAGCTGGGGACTTACTAGTTTATAAGATACTTTTAATAATTATAATGGCCAATAGATATACATGTACTCTATCCAGCTAGACAAATATAGTATCAAACTGTTTGTATATTTCTTATTTTTCTTATTTTGTTCTACATTCTGTGTTCTAATGAATGATTTCAAGAAATAAGCATTATTAGTTATTTTCTAGGGCTGGGATTTTGATGCACGTTGCACTGTTTTACAAAGTTTACTGTATGATGCTCATATTGTCACAAATTGTTTTATGTACTTTTGATTTTTGAATGAGTTTATTTTGAGTCATTTTTGAATTTTTGAAATTATTTAGGACATTAAATACCCAGCCCTAATTATTACCTAACTACTTGAGAGTTGAAACATTTGATCAAATTATGACTTGTACAGTATAATTTTTTTATCGTCACCAATAATTGAAGTTAGATACTGAGACATCGAGTAATTAAATTATGAAATACTTAACATAAACAAAAGAGTTTTTAAATTTATTTTTTAACTAAAAATAATCAAACTTTTCACTCATACTCTAAATTTAGTCTCTATTTTCACCAAACTAACTTCCAACTTAGTTAGACACGTTTGGAATATTTCAGAAACTAACTCATATTCTAACATAATTAGTTTTTGTATTAAAGTAACTTAACTTTAACTAGTTGAACAAATTAACAAAATTACTAACTTTCCCAGTTTTGTAAATGGGTATTGTAAATTGGTGGAAAAGTATAACAATTACGGCGGTAACTAAAATATAATTTTCAAATTGTATAGAATTTTGAAAAATCTTTAAAACAAACTCTGGGCCTCTTAATAAAAATAAGAAATAAAGCATAATATACTACTAGGTAGTGATGAGTAGAAAAACAAATTGGTAGAAATTATTGAATTACCTACTTATTCATGTTAATATATCCATAGTAATTTTTATAATTGTATGATTTTTTTAAACTTGTTATGTAACTGTAATTCTATAATGATTATACCTGGTGTGATTTAACATATGAATAAATAATACCTGTCATATCTATTTGTATAAAAAAAGAGTAATATGTGTTTAGTTTAATAAAATTATATATTCATAGATTATATAGGATTTTTCTATGTTTAACAGTTGTTATAAATCATTTTTTTTTTTTGCAGATTGTTTGTTTTGTTTTTGAAACACTCGAGTCACTATGAAGGTCAATTTTTACACCTTTATATGTTAAAATTACGTCTTGTATCAACACATTTCCTTAAGCAGCCATAAAAGCATTAAAATGTGCCGTGATTGGGATATGATTATCTAATTTTTATATTGATATAAATTTGAATTTATAAACTGTGTCAAGCTGTTGAAATTACTGCAGTGGTTTGCAGTAAGTAGTTTGTTATTGTAGTAATTTGAATAGTTGTTCACTAATTGTGGTAACAAATATTCTTATTTTCAGGGATTTACCCAGAGTTTGAATTGTATGAAAATGAAACTAACTTTGTGTTGTACCGACACACATATGCTTAGTAAGCAGGTAAAATATTTTCTTTGTTCGTATTTAATATTATTGAATCACGCAATTTTTTTTTATAATTAAGCAACAATTTGCAACCTTGGGAAATCTTCCATTTACAGACTAGTACATTTGTGTATGATTAATGGTTGATTTTTTTTTGTAAAATATGTGATTTAAAAACATAAAAAATTGTTTTTAACCTTTTTAAGGACATTATAATTAATTGATTGTATTAATTCAGTAACTATATTTTGGTAAAACATTTCATTAAGTATATTTAATATTTATGTTTAATAAGAAAAATCTTATTTAAATTCAATTTTAGTTATTAAATTATTTATTTTAATTATATTTTTGCATTTTGCCCAATTACAGTATATAGTATTTCTAGTTACTACTTCACTCAAATTAACAGTGAATAAAGGAAATAGTATATTATACATATAATATTAAGAAAAAAAAATACAAACAAATCTGTGAAGTTTTACAAATTATAATTTAACTAAGTAAAAATAGAGAAAATGGTCTGAGTTTGGAATGTACATACTATAAACTTTATATACATTGTATTCTAGCCTTAATCTTTAATAGATTGTTACACTTAATCCCATTGAATACTCAATTTAATTAATTACAGGTTGAAACAAAATTTGAGATGTTATTAGAAGAATATAATTCAGAAAAATTGATTTTGATTGGTATGCCGTTGGAAAAATTGCCATTGAATCGTGATGGGTTACCACTTATTGTAGAAAATATAAATGATTATATAATTGACAAAGGTATTTATAGTTATATTCTATAGTTAGAATTGATAATTGTTAAACATAATTAAATTTAAATTATAATTTTTGATTATTTAATTTTAAAAAATTTGTTATTTTTAGGATTATATGAAGAATGTCTATTTGATGACGCATATTCAACTAATGGACGTAAAGCCAATATTATAAATGCTTATGAATTAGTGAGTGGTTCAAGGAAAAGTTGTAAAACAATCCTAGATATTGATGCAGTAGATGTTGCATCAGTGTTGATTATGTGGCTTTACTACTTACCAGAACCATTGATATCTTCAACACAATTTTCAATGATTTGTGGTAATTTAATTATTTGTTGTTTTTATTATAAAGTACTTGTTTTATATGCTACTTATATAACATTTAGTAGTATAACGAAAATTTAAATGTTATCTTACATGTTTTACTTAGGTATTTATGTTAATTTACATTTATTTCATAGTTTGACATCATGCCTAAACATATTCTGCGACATATTATTGCTATTTCCAGTAGATTAAAATAATTTTTCCCCAGTACATTTTTTAAAGCAGTTTTCCTCCATATTTTTAAAATATTTTTTTTATGTAGCAAAATAAATGTTTAAATATTTAAAGAAATATATGAAGTTGTTTTAATATTAATACAAATATATTATATAATAACACAATCTTATATGTATAATATATATTGTCCTCTCATTGATACAATAAAAAGTAGTATTATAATAAAAAATCTGTGATTTTCAAAACAAATTTTATACATAAATACATTTTTTTAAATATGGTTGAGGGAAATGTCCTACTTCCCCCCAAAAATAGCTGGGGACAAAACTATCCTACATCCAAATAACTGGTATGAGTAACCTTAAACATGTTTTTCAATGATAAAAAATGAGCACTAGATTATCATCATAAACACTAACCAAATATCCATGGTCGTTGGACACACTGGCCATAATTTAAATTTACACTATTATTTTCAATCTGAATCTGACCATGAATAAACTATTTGTTGGTTCTATATTTCCAGCTAGCAAACGGCCTTGTACTTTCAAATGTGGGTAGCATACTAAATAAATTAGGTTTCATGTATGAACCATATTAAACAAGTGATTACTATTGTTTTAATGTTGGATGAAACTATTGTTTTGTATCCCTGTATTGTTTTTATTTATAAAATACATATAATTATAAAGTTATATCATTTTTATATGACAATAGATCTCAATGTCAATAAAAAATATAGTGAAATTATTAAGTCCATGGACAATATTAGCAGACTAACTTTACAAGGAGTGATGAACATTGTGGATTCTTATGAGAAGCAACACAAGTCATATAAGGAGAAACTAGGAATTCTTTTCACACTGCTTTTGACAAAACACGTAGATATTGTTAGCCAAAATAATTCGTCACAATTTTTGGACAATTTAAAGGTTGTTTTGATGTAAGTTTTATTTTTGTATGTGTATAATTGTTATAAATAGATTAAAAAAAGCATGTTTTAAATTCTAATAAAATAATAAGCCTAATTTACTTGAATTAAGTGATATGCAGTGTGACAGCTTGTAGTGATGAATGGAACACAGGCATAAACACCACTCAAAATATTGCAAAAAGTTATTTTACAGTAAAAGTGCAGTAGAATCCCAATTATCCTTCTACTGATTACCCATTTTTCTCATTTAATCATCAGAAGCCACATTTGAATATAAACCTTGTGCATTACATCATATTTGAGACTTTTCAGAAATTATGTCATTGTACATAATTGATAGATATCATTTTTAAAATTGACAGATAGTTATAACTTATAATCGACTTAAAAAAAATAATTATAAATAATGAACCAATGAGTGATAATAACTAATAATTATGTATATTAATATTATGTTATAATTAAAAAAATAATAATTCATGTTTATGTTTGTTTCAAAATATTTTCACTTTCTTACTAAGCAGTCATTTTGATCATTTGTTAGGGTTCTAGTTCCAAGACTGACGGTTTATTGAGCTTTTACATTACTTAAATTTAATCAATGTATAATATTACCGCATCGTACAGTTTGATTAATACAATCAAAAATAATTTGTTATTGAATACAATGTTCAAAGTGACTCTAGCTTATAATAATATATTCGTTAAGGTCAGTGTTGCTCTACCCAGGCTTAAAACATTTTAATTGTGATCTCAAAAAATGTAACACCAAATAAATAATTAGTCTCATATTGATGGCAACCGTGATATTTGGTAGGGGGTCTCCTAATCGAAAATGATTTATTTGATGCATCTAAAACGGTTGTGCACCACTGGTTAAGATCATTGATATACAGTCCAACTATTTCCAACTTTTTAAACTCTAAGTCATCAATACCTAGAACTTTTTTCCACTCTAGAATGTCCAATTTTTGTATTACTTGATCATTACTTAATAACCAGGGCTCGGGACTTATAGCACTTAAAATCATTCAAATAAAGTGTAAATAACAGTGTTTAAAAACATCATAATAAGCATTCAAATAAGCATTTAAAAAACTTAAATTTAAGCAAAAATATTTATTTGAAAATAAAAACTAAAAAATCTTTATATTACAAAAAAAAAAAATTAAAGTCACTTTCGAGATTTTAAGGTTTTCTAAAAATAAAATGTAAACAATATTTACAAATAATTGGAAAAAAATTAATTAATTAAATACACGGCAAGTTAGATAAGAATTATTTTTAATTATAATTCTATTATAAACAACTTTGCTGAAGAAAACTAGAAAAACTGATCAAAAATAATCATAAAAACTGGAAATTAGCATATATTTTTTAAATCGCTGAAAAAAGCAAAAAAAAGCACTTTCAAATTGCATAATTGAACGTGATGTAATATGACATACACTTCCATAGCGATTTGCTAAATTTTAAGTCAATCCATAAAAATAAGCTAGTGCTCTAAGTCCCAAACCCTGTCAATAACGTTTTGGCCAGTCTCTTCAACTTTGAGATAGCCAAGTCTGACTGTATTGTATAACCCATGATATGGTTTGACAAATAGACAACATATACAGTGATGCTGCTGGCCAAAAACAATTTGGCCTAGTTTTATTTTTATTGCAAGATGTTATCATTCATCATATCTTAGTGTTGCCATTGTTGTCCATGAAAAATAAAGATCATTATCATTATTTTTAAAACAGACAATTAATAGAGAAAGGTCGAACATGTGTTACCGTATAGAGTATATTATATATACTTTGGTGGATCTTGTGTGTCTACTATATAAATACAATACATTGTGATATAAGTATGAGAAATTATTAATTTTTAAATTGTCTTTTTGATTTGTTTGAAAAATATCAGAATGGTAGGGTAGAGGGAATACATTTGTGCATCATCTCCTTAAAACCCCTACTAGCCGCAATTTATAAAGTATATCTATATTATAATAATTATGCATTGCATATTAATTAATTTTTATTGATCAGTTATTTTAAAGTATATATTTCTCAGATTGACAATTTTGAAATATTTAATTAATTAATTAAGCAAATCATATTTATCTATTGAGATTATTAAGTAATTGTATTATTTCATATAAAAAGATTAATAATTGTAATTTAATTTTTGTATAGGAAAGCAGAAGTTAATTATGATGAACCGGAATATAGTATTGGTTTTAATAAAAAAACAGGAAAGATAAAATCTTATTCTAATCAAGATGAAAATGAGTTTAATAAATATAATCTATGTAACAAGAAGAATCTATTTCGGTAAGTTATGTTTAAATTGGATTTTTAATATAAACATTATTTTAAATATAGTATTTCAATCAAATGGGGCAACAAGGTAAAGAGTAGCTTGGGAAATTAGGTTTATTTAAAAATTCAAGTTGACATGTACAGGGAGCTGAATGGCATTTTGTGTTGGTGCTGGTAGCAGGTCGTTCAGTGATGATGGATTACGCCTAAACGCTGTTGTGGATGATGTTGATGCAAAAGTTAAATGTTCAGCTTTGATGAAATCAAGTAGCTGTAATCTGACTGAATTTTTTTCGGAAGAGGACGTTCATTACAACTCATTTATCAATGATTTATCATATGATAAGGTACAATTTAATACAATTTCTATCTACTGAAATAAATGTATTTATTAATAAAATGTTTTAATAATTATTTATATTTTTATTTTATAGAACAATTTGAATACTAAATCAGTTGATAAATTGTCTGATGATAACTTGTATGACAGTTCAGTTTGTGTTACTAATGAGGTAATTTGAAAATTCAAGTAATACAATTTTTTTTAATAAGGTTATTTTTTTTTTTTTTGTAGTTATATAGTTCCCAAATTGATGACATGAGAAGTGTAGAAAGGACCATGCAGATTCATTCCAGAACTACAATGAAACAAACAAAAACTAAATCTATTAAAAATCATGTAGAAAGGGTTTTGAAGTCAGGATTTTTATCAAATGAAGAAAGTTTGCTGTTGAAAAACACATTAGAACTCATGAAGATACTATCAAAAATTAAAAAGTTTGTACTCGAATATAATCTTTTTGAAAAAAATGTTTTGTGACTTAAATTCTTTTTTTTTTTAGTGTTCAAAATCAAATTAACATTCATAGGAGAAATAGAGAAGATGAATTTGGTTGTGAAAATGAAAAGAACAACAAACGTTTTTCAGAATTGCATTTTTTAAACAATCGCCTTGAGCAACTATCTAATCAGAAAAATAATTGTAAGCTTTTATTTTAGGCAAAGATAAACTTATTTGACTGCATAGTGCATACCATAACATATTATTTATTATGATTTATTTGACTAACAATCATTTATTTTTAGATTTAAATAAAACTGGATTATCATATGGTAGATTATACAACCGTACAGTTTTAAATCTTAAAAATGCCCAAAAAGAAGCTTTTAAGGTATTTAATATTGTGAATTTTACGTATCAAACAAAATATTAAATTGTTGTTTCACATTTTAGTTACAAGAAAATGAGAAAAATAACAAGAAAAGTCCAAACGAAAATGTTGATAAATTAATTTCTGATATTTACAACATTCAAATAGTTCTCGATTATTTGGAAAATAATTGTGGTGGTAAAGAGCTGCCATGGAGGTCAAGTAAAGGTTGTCCAGGTCACAAAAGAATGAAAAAAAAACAGGTTAGCTCTATACAAATATTTATGATTGTGAGTAATCACTTGTTCAAAAATAACATTATTTCATAATTTTGTATTTTCAGTTGAACTGTGTAACTGTAGTGTCTGATTTGCAAACAATTGGTGAGCACGAAATCATGGAAACTATAGCCCAACCGTTTTTTAAACAAGTGGAACAGTAACTTGCTCTAATGTTTAGTAAGCTTAAGTCTGTTAAGGAGTGTTAGTTGTCATCTTTTTTTTGTATTTAAATACAAAGTCTTAGTAACAATTTAATTACAATTTAGTTTTAAATGACTGTAAAATGCTATTATAATAATCCTATCTAAAATGCTATCTAATATTATTTGAGACTTATTTATAACTGGTGCCTTTAAATTATTTAACTGATATTTACTAATTAAGAATTATCTTGCATTCTTACTACATATTTTAAACCATATATTTTTTGTACAATTTATGGTCTGTACATTTTTCTTTATATTTACAGAAAAATGAGATATTTTTTTTAAGGTATGAGATTTCTTAAAATTTACCAATATACTTATTTAGAACGAAAAACAGTTGAAGCATTAAGAAATTGAAAAATATTTATTGTTCTGATATGATTGTAATTTTTGGAAAAAATTTATTTTTGATTAATGGATTAGGTCTTGAAGATTGCTCTTCTTTGAACGATTTTATTGTTTCCTAGTATTCATAACAAATATCAAAAATAATAAATAATATATAAGACACGTGAATTTGAAGCAGGACTAATTTATAAGTTTAATAAGTACTACACAGAAAATTAGTTCATATATTATTCAGCATGTTATAAAAAACAATTGTCTGTACAATAAATTATTTAATAAATTATATTTTCAATTTATTAATATTAACATAAATAAACAACAAATAACAATAAACTATATTTTTGAATGTGTATAATATTTAGTTTTTAGATTTCATATCAAAAAATTTGTTGTAAAATTATTTATTTTTCCTCAAATATTATTGATTGTTATTTCATATTTATTGTAACATATAGTCTGATTCTTAATGTTGTAGCTCAACTTATTTTTAAGTTTTAGATTTTTTAATCTAATTGTTATTTCATTTAAATGTAATCACAATCATATAGTTAAGTGAGTTGTTTATTTATTAAAAGGGTTAACCGATATACTTTTCTTAGCATAGAATACTTTTTTGTAAATCCTTGTTAATAGTATTTTAAACACAATTGTATGTTGTTTATAAAACTAATTTTTAAATTTTGTTTTCATCCTACAGATACTAGTAAATATACATAATAATTATTACTAAATATAAATTGACTACTTATTGATAAAAACATCATTGTTAAAATAATGTAAAATAATATACATTAATATGTAAATAGCCGTATTGGAAGTGCGTGCTGTTGGTGACAAATTAAGCTTAATTAGTTACAAATGTTTTCTAGTTAATTAAGTTGGCTGTGGTGTGGGGCCCAGCCCCCCTCCCCCATTTGGAAATGGTTATAACTCTAGTACAGCAAGGTTAAAAATTTCAAAAAGTTGGCTACAAATTAATAGAAAAATTATAAAGTTAAATTCAATCTGATTTAGTTAGCGAAAGAGGGGTTGAGTTGGCCTTTCATTGAGAAACCAGTTTTAACTTCCGAACGGTGAAGTTACGAATTCCAGAGTAAATTACAAATATTTTGGTAGTTGTATGATGAAGTGGTGTTGCTAACTCTACACGTATTGTCCTTATTGGCTATAGCCCTATCTATAACCAACAATTGTCACAATCATTTATGGCCTATGAGCTTGGTAAAATATTTATACTAACCTTATAACAGGAGCTATTCTGAGAAAAGTGGTAAATGCAGATTAATTAATCAAGTTAGTACTTCGGCGGCTCAATAAATGGAATTGCCGGTACTTTTCAAAATAATTAAAAAACTTAAAAAAAAATCATGAGAAATTGGAAATTTTGAACATAACCAAGTTATCTCAGTCAATTTTTTTTTCTAATCTAAAAATAAATAACTGTAAATTATTAAGTGGATTCTACACTACGATTTGTTGTCTCGGTCTTACAAGTGTGTAACACGCCATATTTTACGCTCAGGGGAGTACATTTAGCTCTGTTAGCTTAAAAACTAGAGTGAATTGGCCTGTTACGAAATGTAAAGTTAAGATTATAATGTAAGGCATCTCATGGGTTTTTTTTATTATAATTTAATTTTCAGTGAGTTATTAGTATTTTCAGAAGTACAAACAATTTACAATTTTAAAATATTTGCTTTAAAATTAAAATATAATAAAAATCCTATAATATGTCTTAGATAATAATCTTACCTTTTTAATTTTATAAGAGCTCAATTCACTGTAATTTTTAAACACCGGAACTAAACGTGATCAGCTGAGCGTACTATTTGCTATGTTACACACTTGTAAGATTGAGACAATCAATGTCAGTGTAGCGCCCTCTTAATTTCATATATCAATATAATCAATTATCATTTTATAGATATGAAAGTTTTTAAAAAAAATTGTATTGTTTCGTGCTTTTAAGAGTCATTTGTAAGTTTTGAGAAAATTTTTTAGAATATGTATGAAATAATTTTTCATTTTTAAGAAACAAAATCACAAACATTTATTACACTGTAAGTTGTTCTTACAGAAGTTTATAAATATTGAAAAATTGTCAATATTTTTTGAGTTAAAACCATACAAATATTTATACAATAATTTTTTAGTACTTAATACCTAATACTTGAAAATTAAAAACAACATTTCTCATAAGTTGTCCTTAATGAAAATAAAAAATTAAGGACAGCATACATTTTCTATGTGCATTTTAAGTTCAGATTTTACCAACATTTTATTTTCAAAAATACAAAAACTATTTAACTCTCTTTACTTAAATGATTTTTGTGATTTTCTTATAAATGTAGAAACTTTTGAAATTCTGCTATCAATATCTACTTTAACAATGAAATTTTAATAATATTGTAACTAATTTTAAGTCATTTATATAGGCCTGTTCGGTCTGGCACATGGCAGATAATATTTAGATAAGAATGCTGCGTAAAAAATCACGACTACATCACATAGCAAAGAAAAGAGTAAAGAATAAGAATCGTATTACTTTATGACATATAGTCAATAAGTCAATGTTATCGGTATACCGTCTACGTCCTACAGCATACAGTATAGTATACTATATATTTATCTTAATATTATTATGTGGAAAAGTATAGCTTGTTATTATTTCATAATTGGATCAAAATTCAAACTTGAGAACTTTAATGAGTTGTTATTTATTTTGTTTTTTCAAATGTATTTAAAATACAAATAACAATGTTTTTACATAAAAAAATACATTTAATTAAAATACCTTGCGCATCCTTAGCTGTATAAATATGAATGACACCTTTTTTTCTTATAATACCCATAAAAAAAATGTACGCGCAGTCAAAGCTTGAAAATTAGATACTTGGTTGTTCATCATAAATCATCTTATTAGAATTTTAAACTATCAAAGCTACATTTGTACAATTTTTTTGAAGAAATTGTATGTTGTTTTTCCAAAAATATTAATTGTTGAAACTTGTTGCCATTACATGTACATTTATTTTCTATGTATAATGTAATTTTCAACATATTTAGACTAATTTTAAGTTATTATTCTACAAAATCTGTTCATACTGTATGAGTCATTCTATTTTTTTGTATGAGATGTGTTTATTGACATATGAAAAGTAGTATAACATTTGTACAATGAACAAGATTTCATAGAACAAATTGCAAATAATTTATAATTTGTAAATTATTGACTTTGTTCTAATGTATTTTACATATTATTTTAAAAAATATTTCAATATTTTATCATGAAAAAAAATTGTCAAAAATACATTTTCAAAAAAGAATAAGGAAACTACAGATGTATGAGTTTTAAGTGAAAATAAAAGTGTATATTACACAATACAAAATAAATGTTTAAATAAATTCTACAGACTTATAAAAGTTTGAGTTTTTTGAATCTATAAAATGATAAAGTAAAATAGTGGGTCGTAATTGCTGCAATATTCTAGGATCATTTTTTTTTGATAGACAAGGGATTTAATTTAGGTAATATACTAACATTATGTTCTCAATAATTGAAACACTTTTATTTGGATACATATATTATAATTATTCTGTAAAATATAAATAAAAACACAAGTATAATAGCGGTTTCTTTGAAAACATTTTCAACAGTCTTTATATTTTAAGTTATGTTTACACGCTAAAACATTAAGTAGACTAGAGTGTACCGTTACAATATGAGTATAAAAAAAAATTTACACATTACTCTTACGACATTTGATTTTAAGTAAAGATAGTTATACATAATTTTATAATAGAAAAATGTAATTAATTCTTAAAGAATTATAATATTACCAAGTAAACAATATTATATACTTATTATTATTAGTCAAAATATACAAAATAATACAAAGGTAATAATTAATAAATTATATAATACATTATTTGTGTATGTACAATAAAAACACTTATGTACATCTGACAAGTAATAATAATATAAGTAGAAAGTTATAAATAGGTACAAGAAAAATTACTATTTCAACAACGTCACAACTCTAACAAAATTAACACAACCATATTACAGTTAATAAGAATTCAATGGTTCACTGGTGTTTTCACCCGTGATTTAAAAGCAAAACGTTTCCTATTCCCAGACATGAATGAATTTGTTGAACACGGCAGATGGAGTATACACAAGAAAAATTAGTTTGAACAAACAATAAATGTATGGCACGAATAAAACTTGGCTTGTGGAAGACGGTTAATTATGAATTCTTGTGATGTTACAGAAGAATATGATCAAATAATTGTTTTAATATTGAACACGAGCAACACCTGTAACGTAAGCGATTGCCATAGTTAATACAGTGGAATTTCGATATTTAAATGCAATTTTTAATTCAATGTCTTATAAATAATTTGAAGCAATCTATTTGTCATAATGAAATTGGTGTTTGGTGTTTGAAGTTTGAATTATTGAAGTACGATTGTTGTTTGCGCATCCATAAACAGTGTCATGAATATTGCTCATAGAATGATAAATGACAATGTTAATGTTTAAGTGTTTAATTGTTAATAATCACCTAGTACATGCCAATTAATTTTTTACACCATATTTTTGTAAAAGAATTAAATTTTTCATTAACTTATAAATTATAATAATTACTTGAATGTTTACAAAAAAAGTGTTTATGGTTAAGTGTAATTCATAAAGCAAATTTCTTCTCTAATATTAATCACATTTAAATTAATTAAAAATTAAATGAAATTTTTATAAGAAAAAAGAAAACACGTTATTTATAAATAGCAATATATGTTGAATAAATAATTATTAACACTAACTAAATTTGTTGCCTTTAGATGAAATTAACTTTTATGAATACAAAATTCTGTAATTTAACAACTAGATTAAGCATAAAGCAAATATTATTTTAATATTTGTACAACACATCAATTGTCGAATTATGATTTTATGAAAATTTACATTTATATATTATGTTGTAATTGATCAGAGAAATGCAATCAGATAGTCAACTATATGTTGTAATATTTGATATTTATGTAAGGAGATTTCTACATGAGAATAGACTTTAGTGACTCATATGTTGACTGGCCTACAAGTGGATGACACATTTGACGAACCTGTGCGATCAGATTGACTTCCAGGGCGCACCATTGAGTATGTCATGGTGGGTGCTGCCGATACAGACATGGCTGCCCATTGCCTGAGTCGAGAGTGGATTTCTGTGAAATTAGGTCGTCGTACAGGTGCATCGTGCCAACACTCCATCATAAGCGAGTACATTCTTGATGGACATTCTTGAGGACACGGAAGTAGTTGACGTGAACGAATCATTTCAATTACTTCCTGATTGCTATATCCATAATATGGCTAAAGAATAAAATAACATAATGGTTTACAATGGTAATTATTTTTAACAAAGATGAAAATATTTACTTGTAAACCATAGCTGTAAACTTCCCATAATACTACACCAAAACTCCAAACATCAGATTCGGTTGTAAATTTACCATACAGAATTGATTCAGGTGGCATCCATCGAACAGGTAATAACGATTTTGATTGTACTCTGTAAATGCAAAATTAGAAATATAATAATTGCTTAAAATTAAACAATATCTTAATAATTTTTTTAAGTATTTAATCAATTTTAAGACTTAATAGTTAGGTAAAATTGAAATTTCTTAATTTCAAAAAATACATTTCATAGGAATTTAATTTAAAATAATATCCTGAACAAGACAGATCAATTATTGTTTATTACACAGAACATAATATATTTTTAGTACTATTTTACTAATTAAAATATAATTAATTACAAAGAAGAAACATTCATTTTGTCATTTGTATTAACTGCTAATAAGTGTAAAATATTTTATTTTGTTTAAAAAATAATGTAACTTTAGGAGATTTATTCATTAAATATGGAATAAAATGAATGAATATTTGAAAATAAAAAGCGCATAATATAAAATATCACAATGTATAATGAATAAACCTTATAAATATATACAATATCAAACCTGTAATAATCAGACGAATAAATGTCCCTTGAAAGACCAAAATCTGATATTTTCACTGTAAGATTTTCAGCGACTAAACAATTTCTAGCAGCTAAATCTCTGTGCACATAATGATGGCCACATAAGTATTCCATTCCTATATACAATGATGATATAATAATTAAATGCATTCACTAAAATATATTATACTCTGCCCAGTGAGAAAACACAAGGATTCTGTTTATACACATGTGACACTGCCATTGAGATTGATTTCCACCACTTTGGCAAAGTGTCATGTGGGAATGCTCAGAAAAACTGATTTTTGCTAGGCCTCAGAGTGTTCTCTAGCTAGACAGAGTATAGCTACAAGTAATAACGATAATTATAGTAAATAATACTAACCTGAAGCTATCTGGGTAGCAATATACATGAAGTCTGCTTGGTTAAGTGGTGGTGCTATTGGGGAGTTAGGTGAATGTGGAGAACGGGCCATAAGGAATTCATGTAAGTCACCACCAACCATATATTCAAACAATAAACATGCTGGACGTGAACACATGCCTACCAAGCAAACCACATTTGGATGTCGTAGTTCTCCCATTAAATCAGTTTCACGTTTAAAGTCTGCTGCAGTCTTAGCGCTTGCACCTTCTTTTAATGTCTTAATGGCTACCATAATTATGGTACCCATATCGTTAGCCACTTGACCTTTGAAAACTTTTCCTATTTAAATATTTTATGAAATTAAATTCATATTTAATTAAGAATAAATATATATGTAAATAATTTAATATATTTGAAATGAAAATACATACCAAAAGCACCTTCACCAATTTCTTGTAAAAATGTAATTTCACCCAAAGCATATTGTCTAACTTTACAGTACTTATCAGATTTTTGACTTGAAGCACTCGAGCCTGGTATTAGCGATGATAATTCTAGACCATTTGTCTTACCTTTTACAATGTCTTGCTGTAAATAAAAATTAAAAATATGTTATATGTTGATATGCATGTTTTTATTGTATTCAACTACTTTTTGATTTGTGTAAGGTGGCAGTCTACGGCGTATTGCTGAATTCCGTCGCTTACTTTTTCTTCGAATACAGCAAATTACCATTATCACCAGTACAACAAATAAAGAAATACTGACTGTGCTTACGATGAAAATTGGTAATTGAAGAGTTCTCACTAATCATAACATGACAATTTTAAATAAAACCATTTGCTATTTTTCCTCTATAAAATAACTCACTGCAATGTGGTACATCACATATCACTTTTTTCATTTGCCCTGTGTCTGGCATTTCAACAACACACCAAGGTTCACTTTCTTCAGATCCTGGATTTCGGCAGAAACGATGACCTCCCTGTAGTTCCTTATAATCAGATGTTTTTACAATTAATTGCTGACTCCAACGGACACACGATAGATTTTGATATGATGATATTGTGCCACGATATGATACTCCTAGTCCCCAATAACACTTTTCATCTGAAAAACAAAAATAAATTCATAAAATGTGCTAATTAATAATAGTTTACAGTCTATTTGTTTTTTACCTTCGTTAACTTCTGGTTTTTCAATACCAAGTTCAAAACAATCAGTTTTTGGTAAAGAAGAACAGTTAGGTAAATTAACAAAACGCCCAAGCAAATGATGTTTTTTGGCGATTGCATGCTCTTGACTACAAATGTCGTTTTCCAATAGTTCACAGTCCTGCATCAATAATTGTATAAATAATATAAAAGCTGTTCGGTATTGAATTAGATAAACAAACCTCTTGGCACACAAGCAATGGCTTAGGTATGGTCCGATCCTTTCTACATAACGGATATGCAGTATGACAAATGGAAGGAAGAGCATATTTTGCACAACCAGGAGTCATATCAGTAGATCGTGAAATTACTTTAAAAGCTGAGCTTAGGTTTCCTTCAATAAGTGCCTGTGAAGAATTGGCTGGAATATAAACATTTTTACCTTGAAGGTATTTTGAACAATGTGATCCTTGGTACATCTAAAATAAAAATATATTTTATTATAAACTAGGTAATAAATTTAGAATTAAAAAATAAATATTTATTAGTATATTCAGTTATTTTTTACAATTTTAAGCTTACAATAACAATATTAAAATTAAAATTATAACTTCTACTTGAGTAAATGTGTTAGAACAGTTTATGAACTCTGACAAAAATTGATATTAAGGTACAGGTTTTATTTATATTTATAATAATTAAGTAACACTAGAACGACTATTTAACAATATTTGAGCAATAGTTTTGTCAAATATTGTAATTCGATTTTAACAATAGAAAACATGTCTTGACTCTTATTGGTATCCTATATTATCTTCTCTATATTCTCTTATCTTATATTATTTAAAATTTAAAATTATAAAAAGGTGAAATCAGTTTATCATTTAAATATGAATAAAATACAACAAATTGTAATTCAAAATTGTTCCAAACTGAAATTAAATTAGATATGTACAAATCAAATATAGTCTAACTATTTAAGGAAAATATTTCTAGTAAATACTTATGAATATTATATGAGTGTAGACATTGAAAATATAATATATATTGGAAAACATTTTTTAATTTACTAGGATTATATAAATTCTACAAAGTATAGTATAAAAATTGTTTCAACTTCATAAACAGCTCATACAATTTAAATAATATTTATTTCAAGATCCTAAAATAAACAATTTTACAATCTTTCTGAAAATTATATATTGGTTTTAATATCTATAATATATAAAACTAATACATTGGATTAGAAAGTCTTAAAAGATCATATTTAAAAAAAAAAATTTTTTACAAAAGTTGTAGGATTTTAAAAAAAATATTTTTAAAAAATTTTTTTTTTTTTAAAAAAAAAAAAATTTTTTACTAAAAAAGAAAGCATCAATAACGCGACAATCAAAGACGTTTTACATGATATGCTACTTAAATAGTTTAAATTAAATTAGACAATCCAATATCTTTCATAAGTAAAAAATATATTTTTGATTGGTTCTTCGTCAGGGCCTACAACTTCGTGAATGTGTTCAGGTATATTGTATTTTTGTTGGGCCTCTTGTGTGTTTCAACATTTGATAATGATATGTTAGATTGAGGTTGGATATCTCCATGTAAGACATGTTCTTGGTAGCTCTTTTTTCATTAGATGACCATGTGTGTAGTGTGTATGACCTATTCTGAGGCGATTTAATACAACTTTGTCTCTTCTTTTGAGAGCCATTGGGTTATTCCAAAAGATCATATTATAGATTTAAAAAAACCAAATATATTTTTATTTATTATGCAATAAAAAAAAACTAAGTACAGTGATTAATGGAATTAATTGTTTTGACAGATGAGTAAAAAAATAAATTAATAAGTACGACGACGAGGGTGAGCTTTTTTATACCATGGTTTGGTTTGATACCAATTATTATTACATTTGCTTCTTAAATAATCATAGGTATTTTTTACATACTTAATGGTAATCATATAATCTCGAAAAATTATAGAGTTTGTAAGATTCCTCTTAGCAGAGCTCGTTTCTTCTCGGACTTCATTAGGAACTTCATCTCTAGTAATATCTTTTGGTCTTTCTTGATGTGTAACATCAATGTCATCACTGATCTCACATAAAAGTTGTTGTAAATCATTCTTACATGTAGTAAAATTATTGTTAAATTGATTTTCCAAAGAACCACTTTTACTTGCATCATCTAGCAGAATTTCAAAGCCAACAGACACTCGTTGCAATACTTCATAACTGTATTTTAATTCACTGGGAAATGAACGGGAATTCAACCATGATTGTGTCATATCATCTTCAGCTTTATCTAGAAGTCGGGAAGTCATCCAACTATTATTTTCATTTGTCCATCTACTATAATGAGCATCATAATCAGTATTGAATGTTTGTTGGATGTACTGAGATTTAAACGGATTAATATTATTTTGACATTGTTTAGCTATAGTCAAAATACGGTCCATGATACCAGCATCAGAATCATCATAGTCTTCAGCATTATTTGTGTTGTAGCCACATGGATTAATCCAAAACGGGTTGTTATTTTCAGAGTCATTATCATTAACTGAGTTGCATATTACAATAGTAGTAAAAAACAAGGATAATAATATGGTATACATTGGACTTATTTTAAACTTTTTAAAGAAACTACAAATTTATTAGAAACAATTCCAAAAGAGTACTATACCAAGACAGTAAAAATACATTTATTTATAATGTAGACTTAATAATTGTTATTAACAACTTGCAAAAATTAGTAACTAGAAAAAAGAGAAAACAAATGTTTAACCTTATCCAGGTGTTTATACAAAGAACATAATTGATTCATTTAAATTAATAACAATTAACATAATGTTTATATTTAATTTTTCAGTAACTTTTAGTGCATTCCCACAAAGTTTTTACTTTAATATATTATTTAAAATTTTTGTTAAAAATATTAAATTTTAAACATTTATTTCATTAAACGGTATAACTCATAGGCACTTAAGTACCTAAACACTTGTTTTTCTTTACAATCCAAAGATAAATAAATATGAAAAACAGTTGTATTAATACATAGCAGGATGTAAAATATTTGTCCACATAAAAAAATGCCTTTTTCAATACATTTTTTCTAATGTAGCACTAGTATAATATTCATGAAAATTATCAAATCTTAAGTTAAATAAATTTATTTGATTTGTCATTGAGTATACATTTTACCACGATCATATTTGTTTCAATTATAACCATAAATTCTGTACCGTTTTAAGTATTGGTAAAAGATACTGTCGATACTTACTTTAAAGAATTTAATAGCTCAATTCTTTATTGTTAATCTAGGTCTTTAAATAAACAATACATTTTTTACATAATATTTAAAATAGTTCAAAGATATGATAATTTTCAATTCACACAGCAAGAATCATGCTATTAAAAAATATACATAATATATACCATAGGGTTTCACCCAAAATGCTCAAACCCATTTTTCATTTATAATGTATTTATTAAAATTTTCGGAATTTTTAAATATACCTACTTAGAACCATATTTTCTATCTATTGAGATTATTTGTACTTTGTCTAGTGGCAATACAAACTTCTATTTTTAAAATGTTGATCAACCTAATTACAATTTGAACGAGTAGTTTTCCAGTTATTCAAATATTTACATTGAGAGGACACCACACTCACATGTATTGTATCCGTCTTGCAAGTTTAAAACATAGCAAAAACTGTTTCGCAAGGGAAAGAACCAAGAAGACAACAGTAACAACAAAGAAACCAAATTTTCACCATAAATAGAGAATTTCTACTGTGTGATAAATGTTTGATGTTTTGGCTAACAACAATATATCAAAAGTTTTTTAACTTGGAAAACATGAAAATATCAGATTTATAAATTATAATAACTTTTTCCTATTAATGATACCAGACAATTAAAAAACGCTATACCTAACACAGAAAATATTATCTTCTATACTGTGTACACTTTTGATGTAGCTACAAGAACTACAGACTGAGTGGTTCTATCCCGCATAAAATAGTTTTTGCTTTGTTGTATATTTGTAAGATAGAGACAACACATGCGGGTGTGGCGTCCTCTTAAGAATAATAGTCCTTAAAAACAATTTTACAAAAATATAAAATAGATAAAATATTAGATTTAGTATTTATTCATTATACTTGGACCATTTTCATAAATTATAAATATTGATGGATTAATAAATTACTACAATTTTCAAATTATTATACCTAGTCCCCATTTTTTGTAACCCATTATTATGGATCTATTATACTCAGTACACTAAGTTACAAACTACCTACTAGTTCAAATGATGATTTAGATAAAACATTCTTAGTATATAACCATGAAAGTACAGCACTTTAAAGTGGAAATAAACTTGAATATCGCCTGATTCAGCACTAGTCGAGGAAAGGGGAACTTTATATAAGTTTGCATATCCTGCAATACCAACTACAAAATGGGGCACAACAATTGACACTGTCTTTACATGGCATTTCAATAATTAACTCCATCAAAAAAACACTTAATATCCTATTTTAGTTATCATAAGCCGATTGGGTCAACTGAGAATCAACTAATGGAAACTGAAGAAATATAATTTTTTAATTTTAATTTATTAATATTCTAAATATACAATAACGTGTTCCAACAAATAAAATTGAAATTTTGTTTTTTTAGATAAAAAAAAATAGGTAATACTTTTGTTTTAAAAAAAACTGAAATTGTCCTATTATTTCTTGATATAACTGCATAAGAAGTTTTACTTCTCACATCCATTCTTGTGGTATGCACACTTTTTTACATAAACAATTAATATTAAACTATAACTAAATATGATGTCCAACTTAATATAAAATGATTATGTTTTAGTCGCCATAGAAAATGATTTATTAAAATTATTTTTATACTTTATCATTGTATACTTTCAAAAACAAAATTACAATTTTAATAGTTTCTACAAAAATATATATAGTTTAGAACTTAATTGCATTCAAGTTAAAATTTTAAAGGATTCTTATAAATAATCTAATATCAACAATCAAAAGACATGTTCAACACCTATAATAAATAAGGTTTGTTAAAACTTACTTGACATATTGGGTGAGTTAAAACTTGACTGAGCTCTGGAATAGTTTCGAGTGGGCTTGGCTGTTCATTGATTCCAAGGTGTGAATTGATTTTGGTTTCCCTAAAAACAATAATTTTAATCAAACCATAAGTGACTGTAAAACATGTTCAATCAATAATCTTTAAATACTTTTTGATGCGGTGTTCAGCACAACATACTAAATTAGTTGTTATAAGTAGGAAAATCAAGTTAAACATAATATTGTGGATAGACATCATAAAATACAAAAGTAATGACTATTATTAATCTATGAATACATCCATTGAGTAGACATTAGACAATTGACAAATAAGAAGAAAATATTTCTACAGAAACAATTTAATCATCTTGCAATGAACATTTCATCAATATTAATTGCATTAATAAATCACAATTATGGTTAAATAATGATTAATGAATATTGAATATTGACATAATAAATATTATTTAGAATATAATCTTATTTCACTAATGTAAGCTGATACTACAATAATTTTTGTATACAATTTGGCGCGCATGCGCTGGTATATTATTATGGTGGTTGATCGTACCCATTCCATAATCGTCACGTAAGTTTCTACAACGTCTTTGGTATGATTTTATCAGACCGAACGGCGGCAAATTCAATTTTCAAATGGTTGATGCAGTACGTATTACCATTATTGATTATGAAATGTAATACTCTTTATAATTCATAATTAATGTTATTAAATATTCTAATTTATTGTATTAAGACCCAGTTGAAAATCGATTCGTTCGAACTATAAAAAAATGTATTGCAAATGATTGGACGATTTAGTGAACAAGTCTTGCTCAACGTTTTACGACGGTACTGTCAGTACTCAAAAATAATCTAAAACGATTTAACCACGGTTTTTAAGATAAGAATTAAGTCTACTCGCGTTCACGCTCACCGGCAACAAATCGAGTTCGTATCAACCAGAATTATATACATAGGTTTTGAAATGAATAAAATAATATTCAAACTAAATACGATTATTGCCACGCCCGGACACGTGAACATTTTAACGTCCCGCCATCCATAGACATAATCAATATGGCGTGTATAATATTCATCAAAAACCAATCTAATAATCAAAAATAAATTTTTTTCAGCTGAGAAGAGAGTGTTAATCGTTTGAAAGGATTTCAACTAAACAAGTTAATCCTATATAAATACATTTTCGAGGACCCTGACTCTGGGGCCCACACACAAAATGTGGAACATTTGCAGTGAATGTCCAAATGAGCAACAAAAATGTCCGAGAAACACCTATACTTGATATTTTGAAAAACACATTGCAGAGTTTTGCCTCTGCCTTATAACTGTATATAAGTATATAAATTTCTTCGAATATTTATTATTAAATTGTTATTACCTATTTATAATTTTTTGTAAGTGTTTAATATAAAAAAAACTAATTTCTATTTGAATCTATATAATATTTAATAATTTGATTATACCACCAATTTTTTTAGAGGCTGAGAAACTTTCATAAAATAGTGGCACAAACCCAGTCAGCTATAATACGCTATAAAATGAGATATCGTAAAATCATGACTTACCCTTCAAGAACTACCGGATACTGGTTTGAAAATCCGAAATGAGGTATGTCTATACTGGATTCATCGTGGCCTATAAAATAAAATGTCGATTAAAATAAAATTGATTAAACTCTAGTATAATATTAGGTATGTATTAGTTATAATAATATGTAAAATACGCACGTGCCGACTAAATATTAATGAATGTTATTAATTAAGTTTAAAAATGTCTCAACAACTATAATAATATATTAAGTACCTATATTATGTATAATATGCAGGGCTTATGTAAAACGAAAATAATTAATAATGAACACTGCCTGAGACTAAATCGTACCTACCTACCTACCTGGCTACCTACCTACCAGTATGCCGCAATCGGCTAGTGACGCCCTGCAACTCCACCCAAAAGATATATACATGTGTAATATAATATTGACTTAGGAAAATAGGATGATTAATATTACATTAAAATGACTAAAATGTGTGTATATAGGTTTCACTGCAGCAGGCTGCAGTCGTGTACGGCATTCTCCTCCACATATAGTCCGCTGACATAATTATACATTCTATAGGCACATACACGTGTTGGAGGCACACGTACACATAAATATTTCGGTCATTTGTTACTGCCAATGGAGGTGAGTACTGAGTTGTTTATGTACATGAGTATAATTGCGATGCGGTCTAGTTTCATCCTTAACCCTGAATAATGTTAGAACGCATCACGAAGCGTGCATATATAAGGTGCAGTTCCAATTAATGGCCGTATCTGCAATTAGCGACGATAATAGTCGCACTCGGTAGATTTGGGTTACTGAACAAACAAAATAAATACTGAATGCTGAATACACCCCGAAAATGCAAGTTGTAAAATATTATATCGGAGCGATAAACAAAACATGTATAATAATTAAAACATTCAGCTTGAGTTTATTTTTCTGGTATCAGGTATACCTTGTTTTGAGGCGCCAGTGGTTAGCAGTTTCAGTAAATTATAAAACCCTATTAATATCTAGCTAGGACCTATAGGTATATTATACTTATTTATATTGAGATATTGCTATTCCCTTTTTGTTATAATATTGCAATATTTCCTCGGCAGGTTATGGATAGATAGGTAAAATATGGTAAACATAATGTAAGGTACAATTTATAAATACATATTTCAAGGATATCCTTACACAAAGTACTTGATAATTTTATTAGATCGCGGCATCTGCCAAATAAATTTATTCTATTTCTACTTAATACAATTAATTGTGTATTCAATGTTCTGCGTACCCATCGATGTATTTATTATTATTCAGCTTTTGGAGTGATTACGACTTTTCGCAATAACATATCGTTTTGTTGTATAGATTAGGTAGATACCTACCTACCTAACTTCAAAATTGTGTAATGGGAAGGTAGCAGTTAAGACAACAGTTTTATTACCATCACGTTTGGATCTAAAATCAACCGACACACGTTATGTTGTAATGCATATTATTTGTTATAACCATAAATGAGTCAACGGGATTTACTTAGGATTAAGGTTAGTGGGTATAGTTATTTATCTCAGCCGACTTTTATATGCTACCAAATGTTTCGTTTCAGTCCTTCATATAATTTATTATATAAAAGGGGTGATTTTTTCCATATTTTTACAAAAGCAGCCTAGAAATATTTAAACAATATGAGTGTAAAAATGTTTTGAACTGAACTACATCGTATTACATCAGAGGTTCCCACTTCCCAATGAGGGTGCTTCCAACTTGGATTTATATAAATATAATATAGTTTGATTTTTATTTTTTTAAATATATTTACGTAGGTATTACCTACAGAGTATAATAAAAATAAAAATAAAATTATTTCACTACAATGTTTACTGTTTAGTATAATAGGTATCCTATACTCTATAGGATTCCGTGAGTCTAAAACGATTGGGAATATCTGTATAATATCATGTAAATTGTATGGTTATAAAATTATAATGATACTAGGTGAGCTTGGATAAACTGCTGTGAGAAATGCATTTTTATACAATATAATGTATTCTTTAGATATTCGTTTTTATTTTTTTTTCTACAACAAACAAGTATTACTGTAGTTCCGATATAGTTGTACTCAAAGGTAAATAATATATTTAGTACATGTTCCAGTAAATACAACTTAAATGAGTAAAAACTTCATAGAAGTAGATTATTCCACAGTTTCGAAAACTGCTATACTTACTACTCTTTCGCAAGTTTACTCATGTGATTAATCAGCATAATAACAACGTAAATTCGTTCATTAATCGGTATGGCATAAAATTATATATATTCTTGCGAAACGTATACATAGCATAACTTTTGAATTACTCAAGCTTAGAAAATGGTACGTTGCATTCGAGTTCATGTATATTGTATATATTATATAGGTATTGTAAAAACAAACTGTTAAAAACACATAACTATATCATTTGCCCAAGAACGCACACTGTACCCGCGGAAACAGAGAACACTTTATTACTCATTACCAGGGCTCGTAAGTTCATGCATTTGCATGTTTTTTTTGCTACACAGAAAAATATGCTAACTGAGATACAAATCCGTTTCATAACAATAGTAATAATAATATGAAGTTTAATAATGCATGTTTTTGCATGTTTTAGGTGTAAAGGCATATTTGGCATATAATCGTTTTTTTAGAGTTTATAGCGCATATTATTTCATAAAAAAATTGTTAAGAAAAATATTTGAAATGTTTCTTGTATCTTATTTACTTTCCCGTTTACTGAATGATAGTGTTTTGATTTATTTTGATTTTCGTGTGACTACTGACTTTTCTAGTATTTCCCTATTTAGATTTTATGCGTTTTACTTAGTACCGCGGAAACAATTCCGTCGTCGAAACGATACCTGTGCAAGCATGTACAGGTGTCAGGTATGTAGTGTTCTTGCACACGCCAGTCGTCGATGAGTTGTTTAACTGTAAGAGTCGTGAAAATGTCAAATAACTAATATTTCATTCCAAATATTTTCATTGTAGGTGCAGGATAATGGTGTACAAAAATTAGACAAAAAATGACTACCTAATTAAAATCAATAAAGATGACAAATCCATATGATTATATGAACTTCACAAGTATTCATTTTATTAATTTTGGTTGTTAAATATATAAAAATTAAAAGGAATAAAATACTTTTAAAATTAATGGATATATTCTTATTATTTTAAAATTTGCTCATAAATATTTTACATAATGCATATTTTGAGTGCATAATTTAAAAATGTAAGGGCATTTAAATGCATATTTTCGAACTTTTTAGTGCATATTTTAATGCATATTTTGCCAATTTTTAGTGCATGAATGCATGCTTATTTGTGCTTTTTTTAGTGCATGAACTTACGAGCCCTGCTCATTACCCTGTAAATGATTTTCAATTCTGTTTGCCGGACATTAAGCTAATTTTGCCAATTTCGAGTTTAGAGTACAAGTTGATAGATTAAAATTACTTGGAAAAAAGGATCGTTCCAAAAATGATATTCAAAATAAGGGTTACCGTTAAAAAAAACATTAAGCTGTGTTGAGCCCGCGCAAAATATATGAGTTAAAAAAATTGTAAATTATAGAAATGTATGATCCATTAGTTTAGTTTAATGTCTCTCAAACAGAATTCACAATTATTTAGTGGATAACGAGTGATGAAGTGTACCCTGTTTCCGCGGACATTCGGCAATTGCAAACAGTGGCAATAACATAACGAATTAATATAATATTATTAAATATCAATACAACGTATTTACAAACAAACTACAGTGATTCTAGGCAGTTTCACCGACTCAAACTGAATGTTAATGATTTTATGTCAATTATAATTTATACTGCATCGACAGAACTTTTAAGGAATAAGACTGTAGAATAGCATCACCCACTATAGTGTATATATACAGTTATATGCGAGGAGGATACTGGAAGACATCATCGGTTCGCCACGGTTATTCAATTGTATTGTTCAATTTATTTTACATTAGCTGCAGTGCATATATATTGTGGAGTGCCAGAGTTTCGCCTTTTGACTCTCCCTCTCCCCCATATTTTCGCTACCCTTTACTATAGTACATAGATCAGTAAACATATACTTAAATTACAAAATATACATAATTTTCAGACTCACTGAAACGGTTGACTTTGACGATGAGTATTGCGGTGGACTGTATTTCCTCAATGCCATTTGTAGCCTTGCACGTGAAAAATCCTTTGTCGTGCACCTCTAGCTTGTTGATTCGCAACCTAGACCCGAGACCATTCTTGTGCCTGGACTGAAACCGCTTGACCGTCAGTCGGGGCTTGGACTTTTTCTCGCTGTTTCCGCCGTCACCACCGAAACTTCCCCCAGCGCCGTCTGGACCTCCGACCGGCACCTCGTTCATGTACCATTGGATCCTTAGCGGAGGCGGCTCACCGGTCACCTCACAGTTGAGCTTAACCGATTTGCCCGAGTCCCTCGTGATGTTGTTCAGTTGGCGGACGAAATGCAAGACGCCTGTTTGGAACGACGGACAAAAATTGAAAAATTACTTTAACGCGTTTAAAAAAATATAATGGTATTTCTTAATATATACATTTTTTTATTGATAAAGATACCCTCTGCGACATAAACCATTGGGATATTACATAATATTATATTAAAAGTATACTAAACAAGATTTTAAAACCTTAAGATTAAAAAAAAAAATTGAAAAAGAATGATGATTAATGTAGTCTTACTTATAAAATAACAGCACTTTTAATTGGTGCTGCTGGTGTATGTAATACATGATAAACGATTTAATAGGCAATTATAACATCATATTTAAATAATATGTTTATTATAACCATATGATTGTAGGAATTGGAATATACACTATTAATAGCAGTATTATTGTTGGATAATTACGAAAATATACAGAAAAAATAAGGTTTTGTGTGGGAAATAACTACAAATATGAAATAATAATAATTTAATAACTTATCTACATAATACATGTATAAAAATTCTACTATAATATTATATTCAAAGTATCAAATTTTCACACGAAATATAAAACAATTTTATCTGCGCTAAAAAGCAAAGCCGCCATTTTGCTAACACAAAAAATTGCAACATGTTATACATTCACTTTTATAAGAAAAATTAATTTTTCGTAATTTGTATTTAAAATTGCCTATATAAAACTCCTTAAAAAAATTGGCTTGAATCGACGACTTGACTTTTTTATATTTTATTATTTATTGTTGCATTATTTTCAGATAACACACTGGTCATTTCAGTATTATTCATAGTAAATACTGTATTTACTGTGAAAAAAACATGAAATACATTTAATTATAAATTATAATAGAAAAATAAAAAATATTATTATTATTTATTATTGTGACTATAAAAAAAATGCAATGATTTAAAGTATAAATGTAAAAGTCAAATTGTATTTTTTGGATTTTCAATTAAGTATATTCAATAAATATTATAAAGTTTTGTATATTCCATCGAGCGGGGTCTTACAAAAATAATTGAAGTATAATTTTTGAGTTAATTAAATCGCATGATCTATAAATATTAGTTATAGACGTTATAGTATAACATTAAACTACAAAATTAAATACTTGTTCAGCTACACTAATTAAATCGTTAAAAATTGATCAGCAACATCTTTATAAACTATCTTAACCTGGTGAAGGTTATCGTTATATACTATAGGTATAGAAGAGTACATTTTATAGATCGTATCACCACCAAATACCCGTATTATAGTATGTGTTTATGTTTCAGTAAATTTTTTAACGAAGTATAATATATTATTTGAATATATTTCTTAGTAACAATAAAGATACATTTACATAATATTATGTAGAGATGTATATATTAAGAGACGTATACAAATACAGAGATGATAAAAATAATTATACTCATCAGTCATCAATGATCAAGGTTGAAATGACAAAAAAAAAGGTTATTTTTTTATTATTGTTATACCTTCCTGTATATATTTATATATGCGTTGGGTGCTATTTATTATACTGGCTTTAACAATTTTGGTGATTTACACACGTAGTTCTTCATATTGTTCGTAATACAGAATAGATCCGTAAAATTGAATAATTCTTTGTTAAACGCATATATTAAAATATATTATACAATTTTAAAAGTTAATACATTATTAATTCTATTGAACTCTACAATATAGAGTTCAAAAGTTGTTTATGACGAGTTTGTCGTGTGAAATGTAAATTTTTGTACCTATACATATTATTATACAATTACAATTCATATAATATATTTACGTTTATCTCTGCTTAAATGCATTCACAGGCCGCGTGATAAAATACGTTTTTAATATAAATTATCTATACATTTCAAGAATGTACTTGTAAAAATATTTAAAAGAAATTCACTTTAAGACTATGCGAGAAGCGAGATCTCTCAATTCATTTAATACTAAAACAAATAACGAATAAATAAACTAAACTTACTCGATTTGTTCCCTTTCGGCAAAAGTACATCGGAGTTGTCAGTTCTATATGAAATGAAAATCAATTATTATTAAAATAAACGTTATTTCTTTACAAAGTAATTATCAATTCATTACTCGTAAGCAGTGGAAGAATTTGTGTCCGTGTCATAGTCGTCGTAATTGGTAATGCTACTGTATTCTTCGATGTTTGGCGCCGGTTCTCCTTCGTCCGGGAAAACTGTAAAAAATAAAATGTCACCGTCGTATTTAGTTGGATGTAAAAAACGAAATTGCGATATAATACATATTATTGTACATTGTTAAATATATTTTATTGAATCCGTGTGTATTACAATGATATATTTTATTGCAAATGCAATAAAAACGTCAAGCCGTAGTATAATATAAATTCGATACAATATGTAATGTGATGATACAGTCGCGACTTTATTACAGTCAGATTTATTTTAGGATAAAAAAATAATAATATGCTCATCGGTTGATCCTCACAGACCAACTTGGGAATGTGAAGGAGGCTGTCATATACGATGTACATATTATGTCATATACTGCTCAAAGTATCAAAGTATACGAAAATGATTATATTATACGTAGTGGGTCTGTCACCAGTCATTGAAGAATTACTACACTGTAACAATGCTGCACAGCTAGTAAACACATAACAATATATAATAAAATCGAATGTGCATAGTAAATATTTTTATAATAAACATGTAATATGATATATTATATGTTATACGGAATTTTTACTGTTTTACCAAACTGCAATTCATAATTAACACTCTGTATGGGTCGTGCGTTTTGTCAAGTTCAAAGCATCTGAAAGCTCTGTAGAAAGTGAAAAGTTCAGAAACATTTTTAATTGGAATAATTTGCTTTTCGCAATGTGAAAATATAATTGCATGATGTTATCATATATATAAAAAAAACTTTACATTTATATTTCTTGACGAGAAGTCAAGAAATATCACACTGGAATTTTGCGTGCTCGAATCGATTTAAAAGTTTAAGTACATTATGCTGCAGTGTATTTACACCAATTCCAAAAAAATGTCCTTTGGGAACACAAAACTTAGAACCATTGTGCAATAAAGCTAAAATATTTTTTTTTTTTCAATAACTCTCGTCGATGACTGTTGTAACAGTTTGGTAAACTTTTTTTTTTGAAAAATTATTTCAATTAATTAAAATATGTTAACAGTAGGTACAATTTTAGATTATTATTGTTATGTATAAATATGGCAAACAAGTTATGAACAACAAATTTGAACACACGACCAACATATTATAATATTTGTACTACATCATACATATTATTAATTATATAAAGGTATATTTAATGGATATAAAAAAACTGTTATTTTAAGTGAAAAAATATTACAAATGAAAACGAACCATTCCAATTTTAAACCTAAAATTAAAAAATGGTGTTAGAGTTAACGGTTTAAGTATAATATAATATACTGTGTAGGTATGCTTTTTGAGAATAATTCATTACCAACTATACAGAATATACAAATGTCAGATACATATAGTATAGTGTATAGTTACTACAAATAATAATATATGTCAGTAAGATGCATTTTTCAAGGGGGTAGGTATGTAATATAGGTACGTGTCCTATATTATTTGTGGGTCATATGTATATAAACTGTACACCGTTTAAAAACGTTATATTTTGAGTTATAGCAAAACGATAACAAAAAAAAAAAAAACCCAACACCACAAAAGCCAAACTATACGTCCTAGTGTGCGTACAACAACAACAACAATAATGGATGGTACCCGTCTATATTATTATTGACGTGCCCTTAAGCAACCAGGTGCCACGGCCACCACTACGAGCTATACCTATCCACTCCATCTGCAGTATTTTATTGGACATCTGTCAACGGGACAAAATTCGAAGTGCGAGTATATACCAAGAGTATTCTCCCGAAACGACGACACGCAGCGCTGTTATATTATGGTGAAATAATAATAATATAAAATACGGTGATGGACACGAAGAGTTAACAACAATACGGGCTGCAATACATAGGTACCTGCGTACAAATAATATACTTCTACGTCAGACTATATAATATTATAAAGTAAGTATTAGTGTTATTGTGTATTTCTGTGTACAGTGTATTTACGAGTGTACGTGTGTGTGAGTCTGTTTTTAATCGAATGTGTTCCCATGAATAAAAAGAGGACAATGCGCGTTCAGCGGGCCCTTGTAGTAGATCACACCCAAACCGTATAGTAAGTACGCATGTAGAAAAAAATTTAGATGGTGGTGAGATTGTAACGATTTACTTTTGTTGTTTCGAAATAGAACGTGGAACATATAATAATAATAATAATAATGAAATAATGAATAACGAGGGACGTATATAGTGACACGAACCTAATAACATGTAACAGATTGACACGCCGGACTATTACTGATCATATGTAATATCATGATGTCCACGCTTACACTATTATGCCATTATAATTAATAATAATATATTGTTCACTTTACCGAACAAACCGAACAGTATACAATATTATTAAATTGTATGGACGTAAGTCGTATGTTATATGCTCATTGTCGAATGTCGATGTATTTTCTATTAACATTGTTATAAAAATATGTACAATTCTCGATAGGTAAAAAAGGATCAGGACAATAAATGCATTAACATTTATTTGTACCTATTCGTTTTGGATAGAAACACTTGCTTAAGGTCGTACTTCTCTCAACTACTACGGCTTTTATGTTATAGTTCGGGATTTTAATTTGGGGTGACTTACTCCCATCGTGCACAGAAATTTCAGGAGTCCTGCTTTGTTAAGTTAAAATCCAGATAAACTATGGTTTTTTTGTAACTAGCCTTTGATAAAAAAAATCTTAATCGAAATGTACACCGAATACATATCAATCTCTGTGTACGGCATTTAATACGTGAGTGCGGCCTATATCAACTCTCGAGCAAGTCACCGCAACGAATCAATAGCGACAAAGACCTTTTGCATTCCAACATTTAACGAACTCGTTTCATCAAGTCAAAAGAAAAACCTTCAAAGGGTTCCACAAAACCACAAAAATCCTGGTATCGCCCGGTTACTAAATAAATCTCGGTTAATCCACCCGGACACCTCAAAAGAAACTACATATATATTACCTATGTGATGGCTATGCAGCATTTTAATATATTTTATTCCAACCTTCCAGTATCCATAAACTGCCTAATATCAGGCACCAGGTGGCCTTCTTCTCAATTATGTCACCTTAGTTATATTATTAACTACTAATATAATGTTTATAAATAATTGTATTATGAAAGTATACAATTTAATATTTAAAGTATACATTTGTAAGCATACAGTTTATTTTATTAAAAAATTAACTTAATTAAAATATGTTGTTTTATGTACCTATATTTTACGATATCACTTTCCGTTTTTTTTATTCATATTTATTATTTAAACAAATTTTACAAGGGTTGCAACGAAAAAAAAAATGTCCAACGAAATGTTTTCAACGGTTTACTTTCAAGTTATTAATTCTAAAGCACTTTCTTTCATATATATAGCTTTAAGGTAAAGTCACTGGACCGTAAATTATGTGACCTTTATACGTGTTTAGTCCTTTATTCTGATTTAAAATTCTGCATTTGGCAGTTTTACTCAGCGGTCTCGGTGAATGAAAATTTCAATTGTTCTCGAGTGACCTGCACAGCTTAAAATACACGATTAATGATAATAAGCCTTTTAGTTGAGTAAACATTTACTAAAAAAATATTTTTCGAAAATAAAGTATTTTTAAAATATAATATATTATATACTTGATCTTTTTTAAAAAAAAAAGTTTTAATTAAAGACTCTTAAAGAGAAAATTGTGGATTGTGAAATTAATTCGTAAATAACAGATATTATATTTATGAATGTCCAGCCTTGTTCTTTTTTGAAAACTTAATGTTTGTTAGAATAAAAATAAACATACCTATTACAGTAATATAAAATTAAAATAAATGCAGTCTAATGAGTATTATGTATAAATAGAATTTTAATTCGACTATTAATTATTATAACCAAATACATTTTTAAATGTATAAATGAATGGTAGTCAGTGATGATGTGGAATCATGTGGAACTTAATCTTAAAATATTTATAAAATTGCCGACAAACATAATAATAACCATGGTTAACAATGTGCATATTATATAAAACAATATACAATAATACATAATATAGTAATAGTAAATGAGCAATTTTTTTACAAAAATAATTTTCAATTGTATTTTGTAATTTTGCTGAATATTATAAAAATTATAGTAAGTGTTTGTATAAATGCAAAAAATTGCAACTATAGTCAAAACGAAAAAAATGTCACGAAGCGCAATGTTAGATTTAGCAACGCGGACAAGTTTAAAAAATATACGAGATATAAAACAACGTTTTCTCGTGGGATTAAAATCGAACGTGCGTACGGTTTAAAAATCAAGTCATATGATCGGGAAATAAGTCGATTTTTTTGTAATATAAATAAATAAGTACATATCATGTATAATATTGCCAATCGATTTTATCTCACACTCGCCGTCTGTATACACTGACTCATGTACTTAAATTGTATACAATATATATGATCATAAAAGTGTGACGCAGACAGACGTGCGGTAGTACGCTATAGTAGTAGTAGTCGTTATAGAAGTGCAAGCAGAGGATCACCAATTTACTTTATCACAAGCATTTTATACAAGTAACTCGGAAGTAGTAAACGATATATGTGTTTCTATAGGAATAAAATTAGAATGATTAGATGATGTAATCAAAACACTAATTTATTTTAATTTACTTAAATAAATATTTAAAACAAAATTTAATAAACGACGATTATTTATTAATTATAATAGATATATTATTACATTTTATTTTATTATATTATTTTAAGCATAGAATTATATCGGTACTTCTAAAATTTGTGTAACGTTGTAAGCACGGTTGAATATCGTGGTTGTAAGAAATAACAATTAATAAATTATTATACCAAGGGAAAGAATTCTGTGCGGCGAGGACAAGTATTTCTTTGTATACAATTAAATAAAAACAAATAGGTAGGTTTAGGTGTAGCTGGTGTATTATTTCCATTTATAATATTTGTATTTTATTGATGCACTAATACCACTGTTACCTACTTCCCTATATAATAAGCTTAATACAAACTATTATATCCTTCATAAAAA